GTGCTTCTGAACGCGCCTGAGAGTCTGGACAGAGTAGCCGCAAATCGCGAGGAGCGTCGGCCGCCCGCCGTTGGTTAAAAAATAAAAAATAAATAAACACGAGAACGCATTTTGAGGGTGGAAATAAAGCAATGCTCAGAAGAGCTGTGCGTCTTGAAGTTTGTGTTTCTGAGGAGAAAACGTCTTGGTCCTTGCTGCTTCTGCTACCGGAGATCGAAGCTGTTTTGGTGTTTTCTGTAGTTGTAACTGTTAATAGAATCCCCCCTTCCCTTCCTTGTGCTAGACTTTAATTTCGGTCAGATTATAAAATACTCTGAGTTATTTTAATCGCAGATTAGACGCGCCACAGTATGTCAACTAGTACAGGTTCTAAAATATCCATCGGCCTTTGTATCGCTTCATTATCCCATCAGTTATACAATAAATCAAGGCGTTTGAGGTGATTTGCACACAACCCTACAAAATGAAAGACAAAAAACCCAAAAATCGAACTAAACACTGGAAAAAAAAAAACCAAGGACAAAGAAAGGTATAGGAAACACTAGGCGGTGTTGCCTATACCTTTCTTTGTCCTTTTTTACGTTCATTTTGAGATGTAGAAACCAACTACCCCAACTCACCGTCTTGCCACCAAACAGACTCATTAACTGGTCACTTTTGCTGACGTACAAATTGGGTATCTTCTAGTGATCAATTTTCTTTGATGAACCAGTTCCGGTCCCCAAGAAAAGGTTGGGACGAACGTGGGCATTTGATAAAGAAAAACGTAAGACCAGAAATCCGGGGAATTTATAGTTGCTGCGCTCATTTCGTTTGAGTTCTCGAGACAAACTTTATAAATTATGAAGACGACCGTTACGTAACAACCTGATAATGGAAAGTTACAGAGCTTTCCGGTACCTATTTTTTCTGCTTTTTGAGATCCCGCATGAACGAAACACCGCAAAAATAATTTATCAGTTTTGCCCAGGAACAAAAAAAGAATTATTTCGATCCGGTTCAACTTCGGTTTGCGCGAAAATAGTTTTTGCTGTTGCATTTTTGGTTCATTATTTAGGTTACTGTGTTTTTCGCCACGCACCTTTCACGTGACCTGACTTCGCGTATGAACTGAAAACCGCATGGAAAATATAGCGGTTCCGCTCTGGAGCGAAACAAATTATTTCGTTCCGGTTCAACTCCGGTTCGGCGAAAATAACGGTTTTTTCCGGTTTTCGGTTAACGGTTCGGGTTCGGTTCAATACCCTGCTTTTTTCACCTATTGCGTCCAGGCTGATTACATTTTTTGTGATATATTTTTATTACGTTATTAGAGCCCCGCACAATAACTCCAGAGTGTGCGATGCAAAATTAAAATGAGATACCCAGAAACCCGTTGCAGGTGCCCTGAAGTCGCTGACGCAAATTTTGAGGAATGTATTTGGAAATGTATTTGGAGGAGACCAAATACATTTGGTTGTATTTGTATCTTGTATTTAAATGCTTTTTTGGAAATGTAATTAGATTTGTAATTAAATACAGTTTTGACGAAGTATTTTGTATTTGTATTTCGATACATATTTGCATGTATTTTGCCCATCCCTGGTCTTGGGTATGCCTGTCCCACTTGCATGACGACACCTAATGCAGCTTCTGCAGCCTCCGAAGCCTCCGCAAGCTTCCGCAATCCTCCGCAAGTCGACGACTAATGCAGCTTCGGCAGCTCCCGAAAGCCGGTATCAGATGAAATATTTTGTAACTGCTTAGAATTTCCACGTCTTGACTGCGACATGCATCTCTACCGCTTCACCTGGCAGCTGTGTCATTGCAGGAAGCGATACCTTCGACGGTTTTGTTGGTGATAGTTGGGAAACATTTGCTCAACTACGCACTCTGTCATCGAAGGCACAAGTAGCAAGAGTCAAAAAGTGAGATTCAGGGTATTACGTGCAAAATAAACGAAGTTCATTTGGAATTTTTCAGAGATGAACTTGGGATTCATTTCGGTCCCATGAAGTCGCAAGAAGTTTGCCCGCTGAAGTAGATGGTAGGGACTCTTCATGGTTGCGAGTAGGTCTTCCAGCCGCAGAAATAAATAGCTGAGAGTTCTATCGTGTTTTAGGCAGTGAACAAGAAACCCGCTGTTCCTCAACTGTAATGCAGTTTGGATGGATGGCCTTTATTTATTGTCAAAGTAAAAAGTAGCTCCACTCGCCAATAGAAAAGTATCCGTGATCATTCCTCCTATGAATTTGCCAGTTTTCGGCTGTGACATTATGTTGTATTGTGGAACATCGAGCAGACTGCATATGTTCCTTGTCATACTGTCCGTACATTCATATTCAATATTCCCCCTACTTTTTTTCATTCAGCAGCACCCAAGGTCCTCACTTCTTTTTGAAAAATGTTCCACAAGCCAGGGTTCATCATAATTAAACGAAATGCACCGACTTGACATAGCACAAATAACAATTTAATCAGGCGTTTCGTCTCCCAAATAGGAGACATCATCAGTGAGACCAAGAGGCATGTCAATATTATGTTCAGGATATGACGAAGCTGATCCGAGCCTATAAGGCTGGACAGGACATAGGACTGTACCTGGTCGATTTCTAGAGGGCCTGGGAAAAAATTAGCTTTGCCCAAGACACATGGCCTACGAGGTTACTGAGCGTGCTGTCTTGCTAAGCAGCCGGGGGGATTGCTACACTCTGCTTGCTCAAGAGAAAACATTTTGAAATTTGACCAAGTGGTTGGAGTTCGCATACGAGGTCTGGTGCTACTTAGTCAAGTGGATGAAGGGGGCTGACTAGTTAGGTCATGGGGAGATGGTGCGTGAAACAGTCGTGCTAGAAAGTGTTTATAAGGTGCTGCCCGAGTCCATGCATGTGTGGATACAGGACAAGACAAGGGTAGACGCCGTCCACAAAGCGACCAAGCTCGCGGGCTGGTACATTTTCCGCAGCTAATTGAAAAGGGGCCGGCAAAGCCGCCAGAAAAGAGGGACCCGGCAGAGTGGCGCAAATTTACAAGCGGCAAGAGTCTCTCCAGCAGACTGGCGAGTATGAGCCGTCATAAAAGGTCGAAGAGGGTGCAAAGCGCAAAGGACGCCAGGATCAGAGAAAGATAAAGGTCTTTGAGGCAAAGAGGCCGATCAAGTGTTTTAATTGCCACGACACTGAGCACATCATTGCAGGGCCTCGAAAAGACAAAGTGGGCATTGCAAGTGCGAGTCAGTGTGATGAAACCGAGGAGCTTCTGCGTCCGTATCTGAATACTTTGACGGTGAATGGCAAATCGTGCCGGGTGTTGCGTGGCAGGGGGGCGACTATTGATATGGTTCACCCAGATTACGTAACAGAGGCCCAGTACAGTGGGAAGAGTAGTTAGATAAGGTCTGTCATGGAGGAGGGGAGCGTGTGCCTTCCCGTGTCAGATGTTCGGACCTCCAGAACGTTCAGAGAAGTGCGCACTGAGCTGGCGGTTTCAGGCAGATTGCCTCCACATTATTCTAACATATTTTCTGACCGAACGAAGAAAATCTTGAGCGAGTAGTGCTGAAGCATTGGGAGGGGCTTTTTCAGGCGCTGACACGGTCAAAGGCCCGTGAGCTTTCCCCCCAGCTGGCGTATGACCAACCAAACATGTGCCGTCAGCAGATGGGCTGCTGGTGGAAGCAAAGGGAGATGGTTCCGGAGGTCAGCCCGACGAGGCAAACACCTCTGTCAGTGGGGAGACGTGCCTAATGACAGCGAAAGGGGTCGATCAGAAAGAAGTATCCACGCAAGGTGAGGCACTGCTGCCCTCGTCTTCCATAATTCTCCAGAAACCAGTTGCCGTAACAAGTAAAAAGCTCATCAGTGAGCAAATTGGTGACTTAAGTCTTCACAGGAACTGAGAGACTCCCAGGGAGGGCGAGGCCCAGGAAAACGTTAGCAATCCATCGGCACTATAGAGACAGGCGCGGTTGAACATTTCACGAGCTCGTGGTGCCCGAGAGATATCGGACGGACGTGCTGCTGCTTTCTCATGAAGCGGGGCACATAGGCCACTTGGGCAACAAGAAGACAAGAGAACGGCTCCTGTCCGAGATCTACTGGCCCGTGTGCTTACGGGATGCCGAGAATCAGGTACGAGCATGCGATGGGTGACAAAGGGTGGGGACAGCGAACGGAAGTTTAAGGTGCCTCTGAAGTTAGCCCCTTTGATCTGAGAACCCTTTGAGCACCTAGTGATAGATGTTGTCAAGCCTCTCCCTATCCCGAAGTCAGGGTGCCGGTACGTGCTTACTATGCTTTGCGTGGCAACTAAGTTCCCTGAGGCGGTTCCCCTGAAAGAATTGAGTTCAACCGACATTGTAAAGGCGCTCTGGGATATATTTGCGCTAGTAGGGTTTTACAGAAAATCCAGTGCGATCAGGCAACCTTGTTCACTAGTGCTCTGACCACGGAATTTATCGCAAGGTGCGGTATTTACAGCCTCTTGGCCTCTCTGAAGGTGTCTCCCATATGAAAAACAAAAATTCCGATTAGATTGTTATTTATGTTATGTCAAGTCGGTATAGTTTGTTTAATCCTCACTTATTTTTCTCGAGCCAGCACGACAGTTGCAGTGTTGAGGTAGACATAGAAATTAAACATAGAATCAAATGGGACAAGAAAGCGGACAAGGAAGGTCAACCGACAACTCCGGACGGTGTTGTCGGTTGACCACGGAGCGTCCTTGTGCGCCATGTATGACAGTGCGAGCTACCACATGGCGCAGCGTCAGAGCGAAGCCAAGTTGCAAAAGGGCGAAAGAAACTGCCATTTACTTTCTGGATCCTGATTTTTCATTCGGATGTTAATATCACCTTGTGAAACCAAAACTGCTCTTCTGATCAGTATTACTCATAGGCTACAGCGTGATCTTCGACTAAATTGTTTAAAAAGGCAGGGCACCACAGAATGCGATGACGGTTCTCGGTTACATGTCAAAACCCTCGAGACGCGATGAGTTTTCAAGGGCTGAAAGGCACTCACCTTCTCTCGCGTCAAGAGGTCCTTTCTCCGGAGCAGATAGACGGCCTGGTCGACGCTCAAGACGCCCACCTGGGTGCCCGGAGTACCCGTGATTACCAGGGTTTGGGAAGATCCTGGTTCGGCCAGTTGGCTGTACGACTTGGCCAGCGTCATGTTGAACTGGAAGGATTGGGGTATCCATGTTCCAAAAGCACACTCACGTTTATCTGCTTCGGGGATCACGCAGTAAGCCAATGACTGCCGTCCGCATGGGATCCTCAGCGAGTCTTTTAGGAGAAAAAAAGTTCGACCTATAAATGCATTTTGCGACGTGAACGGAGCATGACGTTTCGCGTCCTGACATCACGCGCAGCGTCATCTGGCAGAAAACATTTAGGAGGAGAACATTTCTTCGACTTTGAGACCTCGCCGGGCATCTCCTCTATACATCGTCATAATTTACTCAGCAAGGATCAACGCGAAAACCACTATCACAGTTTTTTTTTCTTCTTTTTGATAGTACGATACTGAAGATCATTGCCCTGACTAAAATGTGTTCATCCCCTTACCATCACACCAAAATAAAAATTAAACAAAATTGTTTTTAAAAAATTTGTTACTCGAGTGTACCTCAAACTTATTGAAATCATGCAGGGTACTTTTACATTTTTCCTCTAACAATTTGTTTTTAAAGAAAGCCGTGAACGTCACGCTATTGCTGTTTGTGTGGTTCAGTCGCACACCCATCATGTAGGGGGCTGATAATCGCTATACGTAAAAAGTAAAATAAATAGTAGGAGAATAGTAAGCTGGGCGAGTTGGTAAACGTTGAACATGGCTAAAAATGTAAAATAAATAGTTTTATTGAACTACTTAATCAGTTAGAATAAACGTATGACTTCGATTTGAATAATAAGCGTCACCAAAAACGCCAAATTATTCAATCGTAAAAACAATTAGTGCGCGCGCTTTGTTTTTCTGGGTCCCAAAAATCCGTCGAACTTCGAAGCAACAGCGAGGCTTTTTAGTCTCTTATCATTCGAGTTGTTGCACCGTCACCCTTTCGCCTATAACACAAGCGGCAACTTCAGCGTGTCGCCTCACCTCGTGCGCGCTTCAAGTAGACCTAAAATTTGCCGATTAGTAGTTATCAAAGGACGCCCAGCAAGTTTCTAAATAGAACCATATATTGGTTTCCAATAACTATATATTTAATTCGAAAATTTTAGTATATAGTCATACTTATCCGGACAATAAGTCACTCGTACCTTATCATACTTATTATGCTATATTATTTTATATTTTCACTGTCAACCCTATTGGATCCACTTGGCTGTAAACTCATCTGCACAAAACGCATTAGTGTAGCTTTCACGACTGTTGTAAATTATGAAACCTAAAAAACACCCTGTATGGTATTAGGGCTGAGCATGACCTGCTTAAGGGTCTGTCTAGATCAATAGCTGAAATCAACGTTTCTATGGGTCACTGAAAGAGTGTGAACGGCAGGGCGTGCTTTCTCAAACGCCCAGCCTCCAGCGCACGTTTTCGTGCCGCCGTGCTCTATCTGCGCACGCGCACTCGAGGTGCACGAGATGCAGAAGTGTCGTCGAATGTAGCAGGCTCGCGCTGGAGGCAGTGAAGTTCTCTTATTTCCTCGTTGCCGACTGTAAGCGTATCCTTCCAAGGCGGGGAGAACATTGCGTTCTGCAGTGACACAAGACACTGTTCCTGTTCGTGGCTTTAAACGAAGCTATCATAAACTCTTCGAAAGAATAACCTTTAGTGAAGGTCAAGTTGTGGCGTGCGAGCGGGATTGATTGCGCCAATGTGCTAGCATAAACTTTAGTGAGAGGTTAATCTTTCTAGACTGCATAGTTGGCGTGATTCGTATAAAACCCCGAAAATGTCCGGTGTGTACATCGGAACCATCGAACGATAGCCGGCGCAACATGTGTCCCCACCCCGGCGTCCAAATAAGTTTAATTACCGGAGGGCAGTCGAATATCGATTAGTGGTTTCGAACGTGAGCATAAAGGACCCTGCTGTCGCCGTGCACGCTAATGACTTCCATAAAGCCGCCACGGAAATGACTCCTCCCAGTAAAACTTTGTAAAGAATTGATTTCAGCCGAACAGCAGCAGATAATGAGATATTCCCTCGACAACTTTTAAACTTCAACAACAGAGCGTGTATAATTACACAAAGTGTTTGTGGCTACCTCAGGAATGTATACTGTTTGTTACTTTGTCCGACACGCGTTTTTCCTTTCTGTTCTAAGAAAAACCTTTGCCGCGCATCTAACCGTACTTAAAGCATAATAAAGAACTGTCATTGTCTTTGAGAATACCATGCCGTCGACCTCATAGGAGGCGTCTCAAATACAATTTTATTATTTACATAAAAAACCTTTTTATTCTTCAGAAAAAGGCGGAATGTCCCGCCATCTTGACCATGCACTCCCCCCCCCCCCCCCCCCCCCCGCCTCCACCGCCTCCCCCACATCGCGTTTTAAAATATACAGTCTATGAACAACTTACAGCGCGCAACATGTTTCCTAAAACTGAATGGAGCTGAAGGTTTCGTTCAAGGGATTAGAAATCATGAGTCGTTATCATACCAGAACTGGGCTGTCACGAAAATAGTAATATCAGGTCGTTAAAAAGGACAGTTTGGGACGCGGTAGGACAGTCAGGTGCTGACGCTAAATTCGTGCATAGTTTTATAAAATAGTGGTGAACCGGTAATAATAATATTAATAATACTACCAAAAACAATGTTGAAAAGGAGACAAGGGAAAAAAGCGATGAAAAAAAAATGAGACGTTTACGACTCCCTGTTATGCCGAATAGACTACTTCCATAAAGTCCTGCATGCAACACGGCGCGCGTTGCACTCTGGGAACTAGTTGGCCAGGGAGGAGGGTGGCGTGGTTTCAGTTTCGATCGACACGTCGACAAGAGATTATACACAGAGCTTGGACTATTAACGGCCGTTATCTCGCGTTTCCTGGTCCCAAGAGCGTCGTTTTTTTGTCTCTAAACTAACCTAAATGGCCAGACCTCGAAGCTTTAGCACAAGCCTGAGACGTATAGCTTGTCTTAACACATGCTTGCTGTATTTTTGTACTTGAGCCTTCCTGTTAGCGTTCCAACCGAGGTATGTGAACGAGCCAGTGCTGGGAATCTCGACGCTGCGAAGCTCGGGGATCTTGCTTGTGTACGAATCAACAAGCTGTAGCAACATGCATACATCGAGCTTGCACCTTTACATTAGTGTTGTTGATCAGGCAGTTTGTTTGTTTCGTGCGTTCATAGACGAAATATTACTTTTTGCAATTACTGTTTTCCTTAATATGCCTGAGTATGCGATGTAAAACTAGGAGGCGCCACTGAAAAGCTCAATTTTAACACACTTCTTATCTCTTATCTGTACTGACCCGCAGCACTGCACAAAGTGAAGTCCCCACCCGCTTGCGTTCCACTAATATTCAACATCGCGTATGCGCATGAAGTTATCGTGCAATCATATAGGCGAATTCGCACATACAGATCGTTTTAAGAAAGCAAAAGTCGAGCACTTGTGTGAAGAATGTTGCACCTTTCGCCGAAAGTGCGCCGGACGGGTGCGCCAAACGAACGAATTCAAAGCACGTTTGACGGCTGCTAATGGCCATAATATTTGTTATGTGTTTGCTTTCTTGCTACCTGAGTATGCCGAGATAATTTCAGACACCGTTCAGGCACAGATCTTGGGCGTCAGTAAAAGCTCGTCCAAAAAGCCTTAGCGAGGAGTAGGGGACGCTTGTTAGGGCCTCCGTCGTAGCTAGCTGGTCTCGGCGTTTGCGAAAAGTTAATTTTCTATCAGCATAAAATTTCAGTGGGAGATATGCGATGACACGAGGAAGACATCATATTAATTTCTGTGCCGTAGGGAGGACGAATTTATTACGTTTACTTAAAAGTTCAAGCGTAAACGCTGGGTTCAACTTTGACACCCTGTGAGGATGCGGCTTGCTTTTCGCCCAATGAAGTAACAAGAAGCGGACGTTTGGCAAACAAAATACGTGTAAGGCTCCAGATGAACAAATTTCTGTTTTAGTTCACTGGTTCTAGACGGGATTATTGAAATTGAGCTCAAACACGCACTCGTGGGGTGAGGTGACTAAGCCACGATACGTTTGCATACGCACGCAAAATATCCGGTGTTTCGGGAACCAATGAAAGTGCCCCGGTCTTTGTTAGAATCGCTCGAGAATGAGCGTATTGTATGTTCGTGAAAAGTCAGATAATCGAAAATGCAAGCAGCGCGTTCGGTCACGGCGTGATAGCACGAGATGAAGCTGCTCAGTCGAAACCAAAACTGAGTGGCCAACTAGTTCCCAGAGTGCACTGCGTGGTATTTCGCCGCGATGGGGCGCGTCGGTTTTGGAAGAAGTCCATTAGACCGCAGCTCTTGAGGAAAAGGAGGGAAGGGGATGGGAGGGGACGGTATGCCCCTCCTCCTTGCCCGTACCCTCTCCTCCTTTCTCATCTACTCCTCTCGTGTCCCTCGCCTCATTCCCCTGTTCCTCCTCCTCTCCTCCTCCTCCCTCCTCCTAACTCATCCTCCTTCCTCCTCCTTCTCCCCATCCCCCTACATCCTCCTCCTCCGTCCTCCTCCCTTTCCTCGCCTCATCCTCCTCCCCCTCCCTTCCCGTCGTCCTCGTCCTTCCCCTCCCTTCCTCTTCCTCCTCCTCCCTCCTCCACTTCCCCGCCCGGTGCATCATGGGAAATGTCCCATAATGCACCGCGCGAGACCCTCGTGACGGCACAACTGACGTCACGAGTGACGTCATGGGGGTCCCACGCGGTGCATTATGGTACATTTCCCCTAATGCACCGCGTGGTTGCGTCGACGGCGACGGCGACGGCGATGCTACTCAAGCCGAAAACGGGCGCCTAAGAGCTGCTCTCTAAAACAACTTGACGAGCCCCAAGCCACCTAAGCCAGCAGTCGTGCAGGGTGTCGAACCGGAACCGAACCGAACCGAAAACCGGAACCGAACCGTTATTTTTAGCCGAACCGGAACTGAACCGAACCGAAATCTTCGCCGCCATCTTGGAACTGAACCGGAACCGAACCGAAAAAAAATATAACGGTAACCGGTTCAAAACGGTTCAAGGTAATTTTGTTTTCTAGTATCACAAAGTGAACATGTGAGAATAAAAAACTGGCGGCTGTATTTCTATCTATCGATCAAATCGTCATATACAGAATTGCAATGTATGGTAAACTATGGGTTTTCATGGCGCTTTTGTATTGGCACTATGATTAAGCATGTGTCAGGTTGTCACGTGACCTCGTGACGTCACGTGACTCACCGCGTCAACTCGATTTAGTTCGAGGAAGTCACTAGATGTATTAATTTTGTTGACAGCATGATGTAACATGACATCACAATTGTGTACCGAGAGTCAAGTGACACCGTGACGTAAACAATTTTTACAACCTTTAGTCGAGTGCTCGGGTTCTTGACAATCAGCATCGCTAAAAATTCGGGTAACGGCTCATGTCAATTAAATATAATAGCCCAACTCTAACAATATCTGAAGCTCAGCCTAAGCTTTTGCTTTCCAAACCCTAGCCGCCTAGGGCATGACTATGATGAATACTGACGGCATAAAATTAACGTCAGATCACGTGGCCGCTTGTTCAAATCGCGAGTTGAGGAGGGGATCGACAGCCGTCTCTTTCCTTTATTTTTTCTGCATCTGCTATGGCGCGGAGGGGGAAACTAATGGATGTTTTCGCAAGCTATCAGCGTCAGGGTTTACTTCTTAACAGTATTTATCTAAAGTACAAAAAAAAATGTTTCCAGACCAATTTTACATCATTGAGGCACCCAAACATTTTTTCGTTGTTGCTGAACGGCATCTGAAAGATGTCCCGAGAATAGAAGTATTGAAATGACTAAATTCGACTTATTAATATGACGTTACATAGAGCTACACATGTGTACGGAAGGAATACCTAAAAAAAAAAATAAGAGAAACAATTTAATGACCTCAGAGGGACAGCAGAACGTTGGCAGTCTCTGTAAGTCTCACACAAGCTTCGTTCTCAAGGTATTGCCCGAGTTTCGACCCCCTCTGTATTTTGCTTAAAAAAGCTATAAAAATATTTCCATGCAAGACTAAATACTATTCAGGATCACCCCCTAACGTTAATAACTGCTTGAACTTGGATTTGCTCTTTTTTCTAGGCAATGGCAGTCGCCCAGAAAATTAGAAAAATTTGAGCATCGTTCGTCTCCTCAACTCGGAGCCAGAAGCGGCCACGTGGCCTGGTGCCTATCTTATGCCGCCAACGTTAATCATACCCCCGCGCTGGAATTTTAAAGGAAGAAAACGCGTGCTCAGCTCCAGGCATTGTTAGAGTTCGGCTATTCTCATCACCGCAGTGGTTGGACACGAGCCACTACCCTAGTGTCCGCCGAGGCATTGATTGTTACGAGCCGCGGTGCTTACTCAGCTCTCGCGTCCAATGCATGAGCCGCGCTCGACTGTGGTTAGGAGCATGGTTTTGATCCCACAATTACGACATCAATCTTTGCGAAGGCAAGATTAAAAGAAGTAGTCTCATTTTATCCTCGCAATTTCACCGCGACAAAAAAGCGTCTGAATCAGTGGCGGTCTGTGCGAGTATACTTGGGCCAGACCAGGACCAGTACGCCTCGGAAACGTCATGAACATTCCAACCCGATATCATTTTAGGACCCCTTTAAACTTTACGCGGTGTAAAATAAAAGCAATGAAGGGTTGCTGTTAACAAGTGGCAAATAAAATTGTCTAATTAGCACACACTAACGGAGGAGGCAATTCCTCAGGAATACGTTCAGCCTTTCCAGTCTGGTGAAGAAGGAAGACCAGCGAAGCTGTACTATGCATGGTGGGAATGAAGTAGCGGCCGGCCACAAGTGGGCAAGCAAGAGTGGAAAGGCTCAAGAGGTTGCCGCCATCTATGCGCGACAGCGGCAACCAGCCAACCGGCCAGCCGATTGTCTGGTTGTCATCGTCACTTATAGAGGGCGGTAGCTGTCCAGAGTTTAGTGTCATCATTTGTTTGCTGACGGACACGATACTGTGAAAGTTAGCCCTTAACAGCTCCGCTGTAAAAAGAAGTGTGCGTGTGTGCGTGTGTGTGTGGGGGGGGAGGGGTGGGGTAGCTTTAAAAACATACTGTGATGTAAAGGTTCCTCTTCCCCGTATCTTTGCACTCTAAAAAAAGTTTGTGCGTCTGCTTTCACGCGCAACACTCGGAGAACCAATCAACGCAACTTTCGGAGGCAGCTCAGCAAATGACGATGGCAAAACATATGTTTAGACCAAAAAACGCAGTCTGAGTTGTGACATTAAGCAATGCAAAACGTCACGCTTGCATTGCTGAATGTCGCAACTCAGACTGCGTTTTTTGGTCTAAACATATGTTTCGGCATTGCCATCCGCTGAGCTGCCTCCGTAAGTTGCGTTGATTGGCTCTCCGAGTGTTGTGCGGGAAAGCAGACTCACGGGCTTTTTTTAGAGTGCGCAGACCAAAAAGCGTTACCCCGGAAACTACTTTGTTTGCAAAAACGCTCTTGCCAAAAAACACGTTTTTGTCGTGCCAGACGCTTGCGCCGTTCCTCACGACGATGCACTAAAATAATAATACGTGCATTTCAATTGTTGGATTTCACTGAGCTTGAACCTCCTGCACCATCGAATTCGATTTTCTCAGCAAGAAGAAATCACAATGACTACCAGTCTATAGTGGGATGACGTCAGGTGCATACCATGTTAAACAGTTCAGTTTTCTGGATATTCGCAACACTAGCACTGCATGTCCTAATTGTAAAGTTGTGCAGTATTTATAGCAGTCTCGCGATGATATATGGGAGCCTAAAGAAATGTTAGAGAGCATGACTATTAAAGCATAGTGTTGTAAAGTGAGGGCCCTAAAAACAATCGTAGGTGAAACCGAATATAACATTAGCCTCCCGATGCAGTATTTAGCGAAGTTTCGAGCTGACGAAATGTGATTTACACTAGGATTTTAGGAATCTTCGCCTGTCCTTCACGCTATTTATGTAAAATTATGAATTCTATTGCGTGCATCTTTACGCATCTCTTTTTGCAGGAAGACGTTCTGAAAGGGATTATTTAGAAAAATAACATTAATTATCTCTCTCTTTTTGAACATTTCGTGCATTTGAGTTCCAATCTATCATGTGAGTAGAGTTCTTTTTTGGCGTACTCTGCAACCCGATGTTTCACACTGCCAATCAGCCAAACAGAAAAACAGTTTTACGCAGACTCGACAGCTCGCGTATTTTCGAGTATATGGTCCTTCCGCGTCGGTCTTAAGCGGTTATGTGAACTTTGTAAAGTAAAATTTATTGATCATTATAAAAATATATTTCATTATACTAATTGATTATTTCACAACATAAATAAAGGGCCGACCACCCTAAAGCAATGCCCCCCCCCCCCCCCCCCCAAATTATCTGAAAGCTGTTCTGCCAATCTTTTCCGGCGTTCTTATCCTCGACAGGCACATTGTAAGTGATAAGGGACGGCCTTACACACATTTCGTATTTTGAAGCTAACTTAAATAACTGTGTTCCTCACACATATAACTTCCTAAACATATAGAAGTCTGTTATTGCCTCTTTTAAGTATTGAACATTACTTTTATGTGCCATGGGGCTGGACAAAAACAAAGTAAACAGGGGCACGCGGCGGAACTATGACGATTACGCACGCAAACCGTCAGAAAGTGTCCAATTAAGTAGCTGCCATGTCGAGCAGAACGTGAAATACTACTTCGCTTTACTAACAAAAAAGAAACTTCGAGGACGCTTAAGCTTCGCCTTCAAAAGAGGAACGCGATAGCCTTAACGGGCCTCGTTTTCATCGCATTCTCATCGCCGCGCAAGCTTGCCTCGTGCGGCCTAATCTACCCGGTAAAAACATGCATGAAAGACTTCTTCATAAAATTTCATACAGAAGTGTTGCCTGTTAAGACGTGGCTCAAGAACAAAGGGTTTCTTTTGGCGGAGTCTGCCAATTGTGCTTTATGTCCTTTCCAGGAAACTTTTCACCATGTATCATGGTGCAAAGTCATGTTCAGGTACCAAATAATTTTATTATTTGGTACTTGAAAAACAAAAGTAAATTGCACGGACGATCGAACAAACTATATAGTTAATCGTTTCACGGCGTAAATATTGTATATTGCCAGAACAACGCGGAAAATATATTCTCAATTTAGCGGTTCAAACCGGTTCGAACCGGTTCGAACCGGTTTGAACCGTTATTTTTTGCTCTCGAAACTGAACCGTAACCGAACCGAAAGCTGTGAACCCGAACCGGAACCGAACCGATAAAAATTTCGGTTCGACACTCTGGTCGTGATGCAGCCACGAAGACATATTACGCAGAAGTAAAAGATGGCATGTGCAATACAGAAATGAAACAAATCACAAAAGAGAATTAACTCTATAGAAAAGAAGTGGGGTATTAATGCAATTTACACAATAGTGAAACCAAATAGAGAAAGTTAGAATCTCACTGAAATAAACGCGAAAGAAAACGTCTAATCAACACTATTTAGCGCCTATCAAGAACTATTTAGTTTAAAATAAACATTTCACAGTACGCCTCAAAAATAAAGCCCACTTTGAAATTAAAAACAAAAATCGAAGAAAATGCCGAGGGAGCGTTTCCTATCACTATTGCTATGTGACGTAGCCCCCACTCCTGCATTTGTTTTTTGTTTTTCCCGAGAGATGATTGATTACCTGTGAGGCCACCGAGCAGGTAGGTTCTGCGCTCACGTAGATGGAGTCACTGACGATGTGACCGTCGATTCGAGCGAAGGTGACCACCCGAAAGCTGGGAGTCATTTCCGTAGTGACGACAAACTTCAAGCCCCGCTCGATGATCTGGCCTTCCTCCAGCACCTCCGCCTTCAGGATCCGGCCCCTGGACAGCACCTGCCAGACATTCCGGAGATCGCTGCTCGAACAGTGGGCTCCGAAGCTCCCGTGAAGGGTGGGTCACGTACGTCCCTTGAGAGTCTTAGTAGATCTTTCGATACCTCCAATACCCTCGATAACGAAACGATGCGCATGCAAAGGCGGTGGTGGAGGACCGGATATTGTTATCGGAGACACAGGAACAATCTAAAAAGGCCACTTTCTCGTGGAACACACAGCCGATCAAGAGTGAAACACGGACGGCGCAATGCCACATATCTGGAAACATAGCTCATGGGTTCCATAACTCCCAGGGGGAACTGGTCGCCTATTGTGCTCCGCGGGAGAGGATGCATGAACCGTAAACATCTCACTTCAAAAGTCTATGCATTTGATTATACGCGGTCTTCCACGGAACGATGGCCAAATCGTTCCTGTGGAGGGGGCCCATCGTAAGGTAAAAACTTCGTGTCATATATTTGTAAGCTAGAGGAACTGCGTTGTTAAATTAATAGCGGTTGGTATAACTTTCTTTCATACATTTTATTAATTAACAATAGTTTAAGCCACGCGCAGCAGTTTTGCGTTGTTAAAAAATCACTCAATTTGGGCGCGTTGTAAAGTTTATGTTTTCTTTCAAAAGGGATCTTCCAGCCCGCGATCCTGCCCTCCGTGGTCAAAGCGCGCAACCAACGTACGACGCAACGCACTTTTTGCGCGACTGAATCAAAACATATTCTTTCAATTTAATTCCAGAATGCCATCGCATGAATCAAAGGTTATTCTTTCAATGTCAGTCAAACAGCACGGTGTTTTATTTCCCCGGCTTGCACGGTGCCTCTTTTTGCTCCTGAGTGTGAGGCAAGGCGGTTGTTCCACTCCTTGGCCACGGAGAGCAAGACCGCTTGCAGGGATATGTGAATAAGGGTGGCGATGCGGGTCGGTTGGTTCATACTGACGAAAAGGCAAACAGCGCATAGTAAACGGGGACTAAAGGAAGTGAAAACAGGACAATCACTGACTCTCAGCGGAAATTTAATCGCATGAAAACAAAACAAAGAAAACAGCAACCCCGCCCACGTCACATTATACATTCACCACGTGTCCAAAAAAAAAACAATCTCTTTGCTACTCAAGCCGAGTGACGTTTGGCTTGCGAAGGGGGGATCGGTGGCCGAGGGGGCTAAAGCACACACCCAGCTCGACGCGCGTGGAGCGAAAGGTCGCGCTGCAGAACCCAGGGATCCTGGGTTCGAGCCTCACCCCTGCCCGTTTCGATCTGGATGAGCATCGTACGGTGTGTGGTTGTGTGTCACCACTGCGTGGTGCACGTTAAAGACCCCAGGCTAGCGGTCGTACTGCACTGGCTAAATTGCTCATCTACAGCGTGTGACTCGTCGTAACTTTAATGCCTGACCAACTACACGCTGTATAAATATTCCCCTAACCCAATTTGCTTTGCTTTGGCTTACGCAGTTCGCGCCTGCCTTGATAATCGCATGCTCCTCTAAAATTTCTCTATTCACTCTGTCCCTTCCATTTCCAATGATACCAGTCCTACTGAAGATAGGTTTTCACCAACATCCATGACAATGCAATGACAGATGCCCCCTACAGCTCCCACCACTGATCGCAACGACAAGTCATGCTCCCGCAGTCTGTGATTAACCCGTCTGCCCGTCTGACCGACGTAGGCTTTCCCACACGTTAGTGGAATCGTGTAAACAACTCCCACCTTGCAAACAACATATTGATTCTCATGCTTCACCGAGCAAGCGGGGCCTTTGTCCTTCTCATCGGCAACCCTCGTGCATAGTTGCGCCAGCTTACACGAAGCGGAAAACACTAATGGCACGTCGTACCTCAAGGCTACTTTTTTCAAGTTGTGTGAAATTTTATGGAGATACGGTATCACGAGCGGTCTCTTATTTGGCCTTTCCCTCCGGGGACGGGGTTCCCCCCTTGAGTTTCTTTAACAAACCCTCCGCAACGCTCAATAAAACCGAAGTTGGAAAACCTGCCACTGTCAGTCTCTCAACCTGCCGGGAAAAACTATCGTTAACCACATGATGAAATGACTTCTCGAGTGCAGCTTGTAGGCAAGACGAGGCAATGCTTCTCTTGACCAGCTTAGAGTGCGATGAATCATATGGAAGAAGACCCTTCCTTGAGCGTGGGTGATAGCACCAGCAAACGTGTTTAGCAATGAATTCTAATCTCAAGTCCAAAGATTGTAGGTAAGCCTCATCCTGAAGTTCGTGTGTGAAAGTGAGTTCCTCCGAATGACGTGTGAAAACTTCTAAAACAGACCACACGGCATCTGCCTCGCATATACCCTCCAACCTAATAAACAAAACCAAAAAGTCATCCAAGTAACGAAACACTTTACAAACGCGCTCGTCATCCAGTGTTTAAGAAATGGCCCTATCGCACTTGGCTGAGAAAATATCACGGAGCACAGGCGCCACAGACGAACCGATACAAATTCCTTTTTTCTGAACATAAAGCTTACCGTTAAATAGGATAAAAGTTGGCTCCAGATAAAACTTGAGAAGCTCTAAAAACCCATCAGTACACACACCGCTAGCGTTCTGGAAGCCCATCTTGCCATTTCTTTCAATACATTGTGGGTCGCCTATAAATATCGCCCGATCAGGCCGAGTTCCATTCGCCCCAAGGAAGTCACACGAGGGAGCGCTATCATTAAGCAAGGTTTAATTGATACTCCTGGTACTCGGTGTTGTCCGGGTCTTTCCTGGGCTCGCCGAGGCCCGGGTGCTTGCTTGGCTCGTGAGGTCCGGCTCTTTGTGGGCTCCTCAGCGCTGTCTGTTCTGTTGGCCCAGCGTCCTTCAAACCCCAGCCCACGCACCGACCACGAGCCTCTCCTTTCTTTTTCTTCCCCGCTCTCGGCGCCGCCCTTCCGCGTGCCGTGAGGCTCACTGTTCCCCTCAACATTCACGTACCGAGACAAACAGAGCGCAATGGGGAATGGAATAAAAAATATCCTCAGCATCTTATTCCATCACTCATTGCGCTCTGTTTGTCTCGGTACGTGAATGTATTGAAAGAAATGGCGAGATGGGCTTCCAGAACGCTAGCGGTGTGTGTACTGATGGGTTTTTAGAGCTTCTCAAGTTTTATCTGGATTCAAATTTTAACCTATTTAACGGTAAGCTTTATGTTCAGAAAAAAGGAATTGGTATCGGTTCGTCTGTGGCGCCTGTGCTCTGTGATATTTTCTTAGCCAATTGCGATTAGCCATTTCTGAAAAACTGGATGACGAGCGCGTTAGTAAAGTGTTTCGTTACGTGGATGACTTTTTGGTTTTGTTTATTAGGTTGGAGGGTATATGCGAGGCAGATGCCATGTGGTCTGTTTTAGAAGTTTTCACACATCATTCGGAGGGGCTCACTTTCACTCACGAACTTCAGGATGGGGCTTTCCTACAATTTTTGGATTTGAGATTAAAATTCATTGCTAAACACGTTTGCTGGTCGTATCACCCACGCTCAAAGAACGGTCTTCTTCCATATGATTGATCGCACTCTGAGCTGGTCAAGGGAAGCATTGCCTCGTCGTGCCTACAAGCTGCACTCGAGAAGTCATTTCATCATGTGGTTAACGATAGTTTTTCCCGGCAGGTTGAGAGACTGACAGTGGCAGGTTTGCCAACTTCGGTTTTTATTGAGCGTTGCGGAGGGTTTGTTAAAGAAACTCAAGGGGGGAACCCCGTCCCCGGGGGAAAGGCCAAATAAGAGACCGCTCGTGATACCGTATCTCCATAAAATTTCACACAACTTGAAAAAAGTAGCCTTAAGGTACGATGTGCCATTGGTGTTTTCCGCTCCGTGTAAGCTGGCGCAACTATGCGCGAGGGTCGCCGATGAGAAGGACAAAGGCCCCGCTTGCTCGGTGAAGCATGAGAATCAATATGTTGTTTGCAAGGTGGGAGTTGTGTAGACGATTCCACTAACATGTGGGAAAGCCCACGTCGGTCGGGCGGGCAGATGTGTTAATCACAGACTGCGGGAGCATGACTCGTCGTTGCGATCAGTGGTGGGAGCTGTAGGGGGCATCTGTCATTGCATTGTCATGGATGTGGGTGCAAACCTATCTTCAGTAAGAATGGTATCATTGGCAATGGAAGGGACAGAGTGAATAGAGAAATTTTAGAGGGGCATGCAATTATCAAAGCAGGCGCGAACTGCTTAAGCCAAAGCAAAGCAAATTGGGTTAGGGGAATATTTATACAGCGTGTAGTTGGTCAGCCATTAAAGTAACGACGAGTCACACGCTGTATATGAGCAATTTAGCCAGTGCAGTACAACCGCTAGCCTGGGGTCTTTAACGTGCACCACGCAGTGGTGATACATAACGGCACACCGTACGATGCTCATCCAGATCGAAACGGGCAGGGGTGGGGCTCGAACCCAGGATCCCTGCATTCTGCAGCGCGCGCTTTCGTTCCACGCACGTCGAGCTGGGTGTGCGCTTTAGCCCCCTCGGCTACCAATTTTTTTTTTTTCTTTATTGACCCTCGGCTACCGATCCCCCCTGCTTAAGCCAAACGTCACTGGGCTTGAGCAGTAAAGAGATTGTTTTATTGGACACGTGGTGAATGTATCATGTGACGTGGGCGGAGTTGCTGTTTTCTTTGTTTTGTTTTCATGTGATTAAATTTCAGTTGAGAGTCAGCGCTTGTCCTGTTTGCAATTCCTTTAGTCCCCGTTTACTGTGCGCTGTTTGCCTTTTTGTTGGGGATATGTGTTTTGACAGAAATCCGTCACTTGAACACGCCTGCAAATGAATTTCGGAACGCCAATAAGCCCTGATCCTGCCTTATATTTTTGTAAAGTGTGCTGCTTTAGTGGTAGATGCGCAGTAAATTTTTAATTACGACCATATATATTTTTTGATTGCCCCCAGTAAGAAGGAACGTAATTATTCTGAACGTTATCAATTTTTCAATATTTCCTTCAGCAGAAAGCATCTGTCATCGACCGGTATCAACCTTTCGCTGCGCGATGCGTTTTTTTCCCAGGAGCGATATGGTCAGCGTTCCGGAAAACACCCGGAATATCTTTGTTATTGCTCTTTTATAGATGATTTGCCAAAAAAACTGCATTCGCTTAAAAGTTTTATTCCTACTTACAGCTATCTCTACGCCATATCCTGGTTTAATGCATATGCCCTCGCTGTCCAAAAGGTTTTTAATGATCTTATTTAACTTCTAGTATACATACAAATTCGATGCCTTCGTAATGTGGGGAAAGCAGGATCGTACCTGATGCATGGCCGAAATATTGATTCATTTATCGAAGCTTATGTAACAAACCTACAAAAAAAACGGCGTAACTTACCACGTAATATACAGAAGAAACCTTGTTTGGAGGATAGGTAAACAGCACAGCTTCGTATATTTCGTTGGGCTGTAAAACAAAAATTGTTTCAGAGGAACAACGACTTCATTGTATCTCCCAGACATGTGCACGCGAGAGAAAGGAAGTACCTAAATACCCTCACTTGTAACTCACTCAAAAGTAACACCTAGATACCTTACTCGTTAGTGCCATTCAAAAGAAACGCGTGCCCTCAGATGGAACGCGTTGCATTCTTGTTTCCTTAACGTGTAGATTTTTCAAGCAATAGCCACTTCCAGTATTGGTCGTCGTTCATAATTCCTCGCGTTTCAACGCGTTCATTAAGAGATTTCTGTGGCTATACTGACCTACCTTTTTCCTATCCTTTTTTGGTCCACATAGCGTTTTCTCTTCGTGCAAATTTCCGGCAAGAGCTGGGGTGAGAACTAGGCTGTTGTGCACGTTCCCTTCCGCGAGTGTTGAAATGCCGTCACTCGTTACTTGCTCAAAGCTACTCTTTAAGATGGAGGCTTGGCTACGTCAGCTGTTCATCACTCACAGATAACAGCGAAAAAGATAACTCGCACACTCTGACCACACGCACAAAGTCAAAAGGGAACGTCTGAAGTCGCGCTGACTAGCAATTATGGTTTGTATTTTTGTCTTATACCTTCACATTGATAAAAATTAAGAAAATAAAAATAAAAATTGTCACCACACTTCGTTGTTTTTTTTCTGCTGCTCAGTAATACATTTCTTATCTTGTGGGATATTTCGTCTAGTATGATACGTTGTTGGGCTGGTTGGTTCGTCTTGGCTAAATGCATAAAATAGCGACAAAAAAAAAAAGACAAGGACAAGAAATAAACACGACAGGATGTTTCGTCCTCTTCCGTACGATTTCAAGGTCTAACGCACTTGTCACTTTCGAGTGAAGTCTAGCTATGCTTAGATATATTTAGACCCTTTAGAGAAAACACATGAGCTCCCTAAGCAAGGATCTTTAAGATTTCAGGAACCTTAGACGGTTTTGTTTTTTTGAGCTGCCATGCATGTTGTTCATATTTACCTAGGGGGACAAACACTCTTTAAATATGGTACGGCTCATTCTAAGTTGATAAAAAGGGGTATAGTCAATCATTGCTTGAAATAATCTGTTTGTTTTGAAGCTCTGAAGTTCTTGCAAATCACAAGACAGCGACAGAAACCAAAGCCCGACAGTTCTATCCTACATTCCCAATAGATCCCCTAATATCAAGAAAGTCGGTAACCGAGCAAATTATGATTTGTTTTTTGAGCTCACCCAAAAGCTCTCAAATTCGTGTAAAAAAAAAAAAGATAACCTATACCAAAATACAATACAGGCTGCGCAAAAGCGTAAAACGCCTTACATCCCTTGCTCAGAACGAGTGTTTATTCCTTCTACCTTTCAGGTAACAAACTTTACGTAGGTGAAATAGGAAGAGGCGTTAGAAACCCATTAGGGGAGCATAAGAAAAACATCCGAGCAGCTAATTCAGAACTTCTAGGCATTCAATGCCGTTGCTGCGGATGCTCAGCCAGCTTAAAAAACTGCTCCGTATTCAGCACCCATTTCTCCCCTTGCAATTTGAACGCCTCGCCACGCCGGAAATAAAAAAAACAAGAACATATTTTTGCGCTAGAAATGTTTAGGGAACAAGCCACCATACACAATGAGCAAAAAGTCGCATGGACCAAAGAGCCAGCGGCGCACCATTCGCCCAGCGGCGCAAATGCCTGACAACCGCGACTTGCATGGCAATAAGTGGCGCCTCCCCATCACTCCCAAATCAATGCAAAAAAGAACCCAAGGTTGCTTGTTATCCAGCCATTCAAATTATGCCAAGCCTGTCCGCGCCGATGCCTTTCTACTATCGGGGAGTAGGATGTTTACCCCCTAGTAAAGTATGTGGTGTGCGTGTGGTCTGAGTGGTGCGAGTTATCTTTTGCGATGTTACCTTTCGGTCATAAATACGTTACTCGTCGTTTCTCCTACGAAGTAGCTACGCTGTTTCTTCGCTACCGAAAAACAAAAACCAGGTAAAACTAACGCGTCACGTGCAAGTCTGATTTATCTCTATGGCTTACTATAATTTATCTCGTTCTCCCTTTTCTTCCATAGTACCCTTTGGTATCTCCCTCGTTTAACGTTAATATATTTGTTTTCGCTCATCACTACACTTATTACAATAATTATCACTACACTTATTACTCATCACTACTAAGTATCATTAATATTGGCAATATTTGGTGTCTATTACATTTGTGTTAGATACTCGCATCATCTTATAGCAACAATAACACTAATAAAGATCTTCACAAATGCAAAGAAAATATTGGCTAAATATGCTTGGTTATATTAGCAACAGTAACCGGTCTCTACTTTCAAATGCGAGTCACTGGAAATATTGACTAGTCATATGAACTTTCGCCACATCTCAGCCAGCTTCAGGTTTCCATGACTTCATTAAATTGAGCGATATAACTATTAGCTCTATAGATTTCTTTAATGTTTCGTGAAATACAACTTGCGTTCTTGGATTTGTATAGTTTCAAATAGGAAAGGGTGAAAACAGGGGCGAGCTGGTGAACAAGTTACATGTAACCGGAGACACGGAACGAGAAAAAAAAAGGACAAAACAACGAGGCTCAACAATAAGAAAACGGACAAAACAAAAGCAAGTCTCTTAAGGCTTGTTGTTTCGTCCGTTTCTTAACGTTCCGTGTCTCCGGTTACTATGGAAGGGCTTAAAACGTTTGGCCAAGACCAGCCTCATAAGAGGGCACAGACTCGACATGTCAGAGAAAGGCCTGTTGGGACTCGTTTATTTGAAAGTACTACTCGTGTTGAGTCTGTGAAGCGGCTACGAGCTCTAGCCAATCGCGGACGAAGCAATCCCGCGCTTGCTCGATGTAGATGAGGTAATTAATCCAGTGTATATGCCTGTTTTCTTTAGCCCAGCTCACTTCAGTATTAAGACCGGAATGTTTTTCCTGTGTACTCTTAAAAACGTTTTAATCGATTAATTGATAGTTGAAAACCTTCCGCCTGTGCCACATCGTCTTTAAAGTAGCTCGTTAGTTCACAGAACCTACGGATGTGCGTGTGAAAATGAACACGATTTTCCAAGAAATCAGTTTCCGAGGACGCACCATTCTGTAACGTGCGCTACCGCCTTGGCGAAGCGTCAGAATCATGACTTAGGTAGAGCCTGGCTGCTATGCTCCGGATGTTTCCTCAATCGATCTTAGTACCAATTTATTCTAGCGTGGCATTCCAGTCCTGGAGTTCTCCACCCGAACAGTGTCGGTGGTAGCAAAAGTGTTAGTAGGTCACGACTGTACGCAGAAATTATCCGTTTCAATTTGCGTTCTCTTCTTTGTGTCTTAGTAACTTAGTGACGTTTAAATACGCGAATACTGTGGGATTACATGTCTGGCTCTGCCTAGAGCTGCCTATACGGAGAGAGTTTAGCCAATCTTCGAAGCCCGTGGTAAACCAGATCAAGTGGCGTCTTTTTTACAACACATCTTATCGAGAGACGGTCGCGGTTGTTGTGAGTCAACAACACTAAATGAAGGAGAGAAGATGCCACTTCTCGGTTGCCATACTACCAGTCGTGGTTGCTTCACTGTCGGCATCTTCACAATGCGGAGGGCAAGTTCGTCTACTTCTTGCGCAGAGGGTAGCAGTGACGTCAGAACGCCGAGCTCTGGTTGGAGGAATTAGTGGGGAGACCAAAAGCTAGCCGCTTTTTTTTTTTTTTTCACTGCACTCGTCGAACGCGTTAGAACGGTGTTTGGCTTCGCCTTTGAACTGCTCGACAGGTGCACTGAGAAAAAGAAAATTCGTTGAAAACACGTAAGACTGCTTACATGTAAGAATGCGAAAGCATTCCTGCACGCAGCGCATTCCTACAAGCAACGCGACACGTCTCTATTTTCACACGGCGCTCCCTCGGTGACACTATGCTCCCCCACTGCGCAGTCGTGGCACCTCCTCCGACTCCTCGGCTTCCATGACGACGCATCTGCGTTGCTCTGCTTTTCTTTGTCTTTTATTCCTGAGGCGCCTCCGCTTCGTCCTTGAGCATCCCCGCAGTCTTCCGTGACGAAGCATCTGATATGATGTGCCGCAGTCAATGGGAATTTATGCTCGTTTCGTTGCTGCAGTCAACGCCGGCTTCGCTCCATGGGACAGTTCATGCCTTCGCATAAAAAGGAAGTTGGCTTTAGGTCTGTCCAGTAATCATTCGAACCAGAGCTCAGTCTACTGAGGTCCCAGCACCCGCGCTCTTCTCCCTACCTCCCTCTCAGCTTCTCGGTGCATTGCCGAGCTCTTCCAGTTTAAACGGCCCTGACTCTGCCGGTTTTCACGAATATCGCACCACATATACCTTAGTTCCCTAGTAATACCTTGTCTCATTACCCGGGTTGATTCGTTTTTTCAGTCGCCGAAGCATACTTCTGCTTTGTGTTTTTAAATCAAGCGTGACAACGCGATTTTTTTTTCGCCAAACGCGCCTCGTGATGTATTTGGCAACATGTCAAGATAGGAGCGCACAGGCCCCAGGCGTGCAATCCACGACGATAGACGCCGTCTGCTAACTTCAACGTAGATAATCCAACCTGCGGCGCATCCAGCCGTTCAAACTCCTTCGAACGCGTCGGCGCCGGGGCCTATCCATTCTCATAGCGTGGCATGTGTTCTCCTTTATATTTTCTATACAGGTGACGACACGTCATCTAACCGTCAGACAGTTGCACTACGTTGTCACCTCTCGCTTATTGGCGGATTTTTGAGCGTCTTAAAAAAAGATCAAGCAGACTACTCGAGAAGACCAATGGCGCCAATGGCTGTTTTCTTACCCTGGACTTTTTTTTGGGATCTCTTCTTTCGATCGCTATGAAGCCTCTTGCTGTATGCTCATACTTCGAAAGCTGGAACTCAACTTGGGCCTGCTCGCTCTGTCGAAACGCTTTGTCGATTGTTTCCACCTGGATAAGAGGAATCGAAAAGAGAGGCGGACATGGGCACAACCGGTTAGTCATTTTGACTCAAACTTTATTTACGTGTATCCGTTAGAAAAACACCCGGAAAATAACAGCCACCAGGATATTAACAACTATAGACTGAACTTCCCCAAAATGGGAGCGTATTTGATCCGGGTGACACCGTAGTAGCACTGTGTGTGCACCAGAACCGTAATTAAAAGTTGTTCATTATTCGCGGAAGAAACTACTTAAGCACAACAGGTTTGCATGCGAATTACAGTTGGTGGCGTTGAACAAGTAGACGATGGTTAAAAAAGAAACGAGTGTGGAGCGGAGGCTATTTAAGTTTAAGCGACCTTGAGGGACGGGGTGTTTTCATTGAAATCCTTTCATTAAAACAAAGACACTTAGACAGCGACAACACAAATGATGATCAGCGAGAAAATAAAAAAAAAATAAAAAACAGAATTTCACGTGATATATCTTATATACGGGATCAGGACATTTGGGTGCACGGACTTTTCGGTGCACGGTCAATCAAAATCACGTGTTTTTTTTGTTTTTTTGTTTTTGTTTTTTTTGTGTGTGGTTTTTTTTGTAGTTTTTTTTTCTAAAAGTAATAAGCACTATTTTTGCCAGAAATGATTTTTCTGCACTTTATAAATTTGTAGACTTGGTCATTCATTTACGGTCACTTATTCATATACGACCTGAGTGACTTTGGCGCAGCACCGTCCTGCAGGAGGACAGGATACGTTGGACGGTATGTTTCGTTTGCCGGTGTCTGTTTTCCGACGTACGCACTAAACGCATCATAGTGTTTAGGCGTTGGGTCGGTACAGGCGTTCTCAATGCCTTCTGTAAATGTGTGGGCTTTATTATTGGTAATCTGTGAAGGACAGGCCCCAACAGTTAAAGCTTGAGAATTTTGAAAATTAATGGCGACATGTGATGCGACTAGTGCTTACGTTGGAAAAACGACACCGATAAACGAACCATAACGTCCAACGTCTCCAATCCTCACGCAGGATGGCAACGCGCATAGCAAAGTCACCTACGTCGTATATCAGTAAGTAGCGTAAATGGATGATCAAGTCTAGAAAATTATAAAGCGCGAAAAAATATATTTCTAGCTAAAATAGTCCTTATTACGTTTAAAATAAGAAACAAAAAAAACTCGTGATTGATTTTGATTGGACGTGCACCGAAATGTCCGTGCACCGAAAAGTCTGTGCACCGAAATGTCCGCGCACCGAAAAGTCCCACACTGAAAAGTCCGTGCACCCAAAAGTCCGTGCACCGAAAAGGCCGCGCACCGAAAAGTCCGCACCGAAACGTCCTACACCGAAAAGTCCTAGACCCCTTATATAGACAAGGTGTTGCATAACCTTAAAAAATAGCAATTAAGTACGATGCCAATGTTATTTTCTCAGCTCCATGCAAGCAGGAAAAAGTTTGTCCAGTAATGACTAGACAGAAACGTGTTCAATGCTCAAAAAAGCCTGTCACTCGGCACACAGCTTGTGCCTGTAATGTTTTTTACAAGATTCCACTAACGTGTGTGCGCGTGTATATTAGACAAACTGGGCGGTGTTTTAAGGAAACGGCGCCTGAACATCGTCTTGCGATTCGTAACAAATCTGGGGGACATCTTGCAGCACACCGCATTCGGTGCGGGTGTGATCCCCTGTTAGGATTAACGAAACTTATTAAAAAAAAAAAAAAAAACAAGAGTGAAAGGGAAATCGTTGAAGGGTATTTTATAAAGTCCTCGGGTGACAAGTGCGCCAACACGCGTTCGATTGTACTAAATTTGTATTTATTTTTATTTTTATTTAAAAAAAATAAAAATAAATAAAAAGGAATGACAAAGAATTTTTTTTCATGGTTTTGTGTAGAGACGTTGAACTGATACGACTGTTTAAATCACTTCCATCTGTCGTTCGTGTTTATGGGTCGCTTTTATCACTGGGGGTTGACAAGATAGAGAAGAGTGTTCTCGCATGTGTGCTGGGTGGTTTCCCTCGATTAGATCAGTTGGAAGTAAGCTTTAGTCTCTGTTATTTGTTTGTCTTTTTCGTCCGTGTTTTTCTTTTTGCGTTTTTAAGACCTCTAGATCATAATGAATCAACTAGCCCAATTCAAAGTTTTAATCCAAAGTCTCAACCCTGTCCCTAGTGGGTCCGGTGCTGGGGTAACGCGGACAAGGCTTGAACCTCATACTTAAAACTAGTAGCGTCTTGCTGACAGGGGTCTGCAGCCCAGTCTTTCAAGGCACTAACAGTGACCCGTGTTTCCCCAGGTAGCTACGATTACCCAGCACAGAGGCCAGTTATCTCCTATCATCGATACACTGCTGAATCAGCTGACGACGGAACACGCACCGACTCGACGCAAGCGCAAGGTCCTCGCTGAGGGATTTTCCTCTGGGCACCGCTGAACCTCACGTGCCCTGAACTTTTCCGGTGCTACAGCTATAAAAGCCGTGGAACACGATCGCCTCATGGGATCTGCAGCCCAGTCTTTCAAGGCACACACAGTGAATTGTGTTTACCCAGGTGGACGTGTTAGAACACTCCTCTGCCCCTTTTTGCATGTTGGCTGCAAATCCCAAGCCATGGGTGTTGATTTGTGCAATTATCGTGCCCGAATTGGTCTTTCCGATAAGCTGAGGCGGCAGTCAAAGGTAGTTTCACGCCATTCGTTTGGTTGACACCAAGGATTGCTGTCGGGCAAAGTGTTTGCCTCTTGCTTAGTGTGGCATTGATTTTATTGTGTGCTGGGGACGTCGAGCGCAATCCCGGACCTGGTTGCGTATCCGACGACAGCAAAATTTCATAACTGCAAAATTTTATCGAGGCACTGATTTCCGCCAACTCGAAATACCAGAGCGAAAATCCCAGCCGACTTGTTCACATCACCCTAGGAATTTATTTTTTTAATTAGAAAGGGTAACGGCCTTAGAGGTTAATACTCCAGACCTTACGCAAATCCGTGACTACTTCAGACAGCTAAAAATTGAGGTTGAAACCATCAAAGGTCAACTTAACCACTCTAGGTGTGCCAACGCTAGCACCCTGGAACCAGTTGAAGTCATTGGTGACCTCAACGACCGATCAAGACGCACTAATTTCAGAATTAAATGGTTTAGTGAAGTCGAGGAGGAATCACAAACCCAACCGGAATCCCACGTGAAAAGTTTCTACTTAGACGTACTTGGTGACGAAGTAGGAATTTTTTAACGCTTTCACAGACTCGGATGCAAGTCCTATGGTAACATTACATAGCCAGTCAAGATTAAGCTCCTTGACTAGCGAGATAAGGTTGCTATGATAAAGAACGCCCCTAAATTAAAAAAAAAACATGGATCCGACAAAATTTGGATCGACAAGGACCTTTCATGACGAACTGGGTTAGCACGGTCTAAACTCTGGAAATTCGGCAAAAAGTTACGGCTACAAAATCTAAAATCTAAGCTCAAGATCGATAAACTGTACTGTTTCAAAAAGATATACGGGTACGACTTCGTTGAAGGCCGAGTTCTTGAACTAAAACTAAAAAAAGTACCCCTCGACTTACGGTTATCAAGTGACCAAAGAACCTTTGCTGCCCTTGCGCACGTTACACGCACTCATTTTCTGTTTACAAATTCCGAAGCGTATTAAAAAAAAATAAGATGCTTTGCTTGATCGTTCCAACATGTAAGATAGCCAAGTCATCCTCGGCACAGAAACGTGGCTGTCCCCGGTTATATCAGATAACGATCTCTTGAATTCTTGCTTTTCTCTTTCGCAAGTATAGATTAATCAACAAGGGCGGCGGCGCTCTGATTGCTGTTAGGGACCACTTACTTGCCTCTGCAGTTGATATTGAAACAGACATCGATATAATGTGGGTTCAGTTGAAAATTTTGCAAAAAAACTTTGTTATAGGTCTGTGTTATCGATCCCCGAACTTCGATTGTTCCTTCGTGTCAAGATTAAAGCACTGTCTTGAGAAGTTGTTTTCTGTGCAGTCTAATTGTACGGTTACTTTATTTGGAGAGTTTAGATTTCCAGGATTTGACTGGGTTTCAGATAGTGTCAACCCCTCGCGTAAAAACAAGCAAGAAAGCCGTGTATTTCTTGATGTTATGAGTACTTTTGTTATTTTACCAAATTATCAAAAAACCGACGCGAGACGATGCAACCTTAGATATATTTGTTACAACCCACGCTGACTACGTAGGCGATGTGCACCATCTTGGTTTGTTTAGTGACCACTCTCTTTTTAATATTCATCTATCCATTAGTGTTCCATCCCCTGTGATATAAAAAAAAGAAAATTCGGAACTATGCTAAAGTTGACTTTGACAGCATTAATGCAAAGCTTTTAGAGGCAAGAATCAAAGAAAGAATAAGTACACTAAGAGACAAGGACAGGCAGCACAGTTCTTTCAACTAGCCACGAACATTTACTGAGGTCTCCTTCAATACGTACTATCTCCCTCCCAACTTTTTAAACTAAAGAAGAAGAAAAAATCTCTCGGAAAAAGACAAAAATCTCCCAAATAAACTTTTTCATGTACCTTTTAAGAAGTTGGGAGGGAGGTCGTGCGTATTGAAGGAGACATCAGTAAATGTTCGTGGCTAGTTGAAAGAACTGTGCTGCCTGTCCTTGTCCCTAAGTGTTTTTATTCTTTCTTTGATTCTTGTATTTTCATCAACCCGTTCTTTGTCTTTTAGAGGCATTTCCATATTTTGGGCATCAATTCACACAATATCAGTAGAGCATAACTGGCACATTATCAAAAAAATTTTTCATAACCTCATTGATTTATCTGTTCCAAAATCTCGATTAATTTCTAACCACATGTCGCCGTGGTTCAACTTAAGTACAAAGAGAATGCCAGGGAAAAAATAAAGGCTTTTTCTAGTCACCAAGAAAAGACGAGGGCGATGCCTCACGGTCTTGCTTCCGTGATTTCACTAGAATTTATAAACGCTAAATGAGGAATGCAAAACTGAATTTCCTTTCAAACGATCTGTATAACATTTTTGTTTTTAACCCACGGAGGCTGTGTAAAATAATTAATCCCTCGTCAAACAAAAGTCCAGTTATCTCAGACTAGACTGGTAAGCGGCTGACTGAAAATAAAATGAGTAATGATAAATTTAACGAGTATTTCAGTAGTTCTTTTTTTTATCGTGAAACTTTTCCCATACCGCAATTACCTCCTCAGCACGTGACTGATGAAATGAAATCTGTTACAACTAATCCTGAAGAAATATCAAAATTAATAAAGCAACCTCCTCTCAGCTTCGCTCCTGGTCGCGATGATATGCAACTTCCTCTCAGCTTCGCTCCTGGTCCTAATGATATAAACAGTAAAATTTAAAAGATTACTAAGCAGGCCTCGTTTCTCTACCTCTATAAGATTTTCAACCAGTTGCTTATTACTGGTGGCCTCACTAGTGACTAGAGACATGCAAATATCATTCCAATTCATGAGTCCAGGTCATCTGACGATTTGAACAATTATAGGCAGATCTCCTTAACAAGTGTTCGTAGCAAACTATTGGAACATATTATTTTTACAAACATTCTGGAATTTTCGGATGCCAAAGATGTATTATTTTCGTATCCGCATGAATTTCTTGAAAATTTATCATGTTCAGCGCAGCTTGTCGAGTTGGTAACCGATATTCACAGTAACCTCAACTCACTTAAACAAAACAGATGCTCTATTTATAGACTTTTCGAAAGCATTTGACCGTATGCCCCACTGTAGACTGATCGCAAAATTAAACCAGTTAAGTATTATTACTGTGTTACTAAGCTGGAAAAGTACTTTTCTTGCGACTAGAACCCAATCTGTGAGTCTGGGTAAAGCCTCTTCGCAATCTTTACTAGCTATCCCAGGGGTGCCTCAGGCTACTCTCTCTACTGGTTCCCTAATCTTACTTGTTTACATAAATGATATCGGTTATCGCCTGGAAAGCTGTGTTCGTCTATTTGCTGATGACCTTGGTATTTATCGCGCTATTACTAGTAAAGATGATTGCCTAGCATTTCAACAATACATAAGATTAATTTAAGTCTAGCGTGATGAATGGCTCATTTCTATTAATCATAGTACATGTAAATGTGTACCTTTTTCTAAACCTCGTAAACCAGTAAATTATTCCTATCAACTCATATCAAAACCTGTAGAAAAGATTTTGTCTTGGAAACACCTTCACGTTTACCTAAGGTCTGATCTATTATGGAAAACACATATTGAAAACATAACTTCAAGTGGTTATAAAACCTTAGGATTCCTTAGACGCAACCTACGTCAAGCCTCACCGAAGATTAAACAGCTGTCATACTGTACCCTTGTTAGATCCAAGTTGCAATATGTTTCTACCCTCTAGAACCCCCACCAGACTTACCTTTCGGACATGTTAGCATCAGTACAAAACTGCGCGACTAGATTTATCCTTCACGACTATTCGCCCAGAAGTATTTCTGCCCTCAAGGCCTCAATATTATTACCTCCTCTTGAGAATAGGCGCACCGTAGAGAGATTTTTTTTTTCACCACCTCTTTTATAAATCATGGACTGACCGGGAGTTCTTTCCCGCAACAAATCATATCTCCTTCCGTCATGATAATTGCCACAAACTCGATCGAGCTACCCTTTGCCAGAACAAACACTTTTAAAAAATCAACTTTTCTTTTGTGCACAAAGCACTGGAATTCACTACCAGAATCTCTCGTAACAATTACAGATCAGAGGTCATTTCTTGCAGAGCTGACTCTGCATCTGTTACCCTAACTTTAGTTTAGTATTTTTCGAACGGATGTTGTCACCTTTGCTTCTACGTTGTATCTAATCTCCTGAAATGTTACTTTGTGTTTTGTATTACCCCCTATAGGTAGTGCCCCCTCAGGGGCCCTTAAGCAATAATAAATGAAATGAAACCAGAGGAAATTTGGCGACTCTCTTGCGGGGGAAAAAGGCGGGGAGTAATTTTTCTTTTTTGTTAGATTTTCTAAAGGTCATCGTGGTGATATCCCTGACTGCTCGGTGATAGTTTGCGGAAAGAAAATTAGCTTAAAAGGGCCAAAAAGATTCATATGTCCGTCTTTTAAACTTAGGCTAGGTGGCACAAGTTACTGCCCGTTACAAAGGGTAAAGCCATAAATATCCATCCATCCATCCGTTCTGTGACGGGGCAACAAGCATGATGTCTCGCCTACTCATAGTTCCTGCATATGTGGCAGTTTCCAGTCACCCAGTTTTTTGCGCCTTGCCATTCACTGGAAGCACTTTGCAGATTGAAAAGGTGGACCCTTCATGTGCCATGAAGGAGAATAAACGCCCAGGAGGTTTTTAAGGTGCAGTATTTAGAGTATAACACTACGAGGACCGACACCATTCACAAAGGCGCTATCGCCTGGTGTAAATAAATCGTCGCAGTCTTATTAATATATATATATATATATATCACTGGCCGCGCTTTTGCTCTTATGCTTAGCGGAACGTCGACCGCCATTTTGGACCTCCTTGGGAGGTACCTTTTTGGGAACGTTTCCAAAAAAACGCCAGTTACCTTTATTGTTTGCTTGAATACGCTCCTCAATTTAATGTAATATTTTTAACAAAGTAATGCGTGGACTTAGCATTTCCTAAGGTGTCACCTTCAAGTTCAGGGAATCGTCGTTGATTGCTGTCGAGATGGGAAATGTGGCGATGCCATCATTGTCTGTGGTTGCCTTCGTGCTTAGGTTCTTCGGACCCCTGTTTGTCAACTGCATCTCGATTCCTCGGGCAGCATCTCCGTTCAGGTACGTCACTTGGGCCTGTGGTGGGCAACAGAAACCCATAGAATGAGGTCAAGTGGAACTGCGTTGGTGGTGCATGCTACAGGCTTACTAAAATTACCACACCTGATTTCTGTGTCTATTTAGTACCTCGACCATACTCTGGGAATACAAATGAAAAGAAATCACGTAACGGTAACGGATTATGCGCTCGGAAGATTGCAGCATTTTTGCGTTTGTTTTTATGAGGTTGCTTCTTTTTTTGTATTGCTCCTTTGTATTTCGGGTCGTCAGATATGACTCCGTCCGGACGTGCTAAAAATTCACTAGAGGTAAAACAACTGGCAAAAGATCACGTGTTGTGAAACCGAAAATGAATATGACAATAAATTAAGGAGTACCATTAGAGAGTCCCTGAAGATGTTCCCTGATAGTGTCGTCATATTAGATCATTTTATAAAGGATGGTCAATAAAGTTTTCTTCTTTTTTATTCAGAAATGAAATTAAAGCATGCTATATTCAAATAAAGGTTTGTGAGCTCCTCTTTAACAAGAGCACATCATTTGTCGATATAGTTCCCAGTATCAATTATGTTTTACGGGGTCCCGGATCTGAATGAAGGCTTTAAGGGGACCGCATTATTCGGCTTGGCAACATTTACGATTTAGCACAGGGGCACCTGAAGGTGGTGAATGCATAGCATCCAAAGTAAAAAAAAAAAAAAAAACTTTCGTAAATAAAAAATAAAAAAAGAAGTTGCTGGTTTTCTTTCCCTATGGCGCCCGTGTGCTAAGCGCACACACTCTGACCGGCGCAACAGCCGACAGATGGCGGTAGCGGCGGCTAACGGCAGCTCAGCAGCCGCCCGGTCGTGCTGAAGGCAGACATGTAGATAAACTCGTTTGTTAAACCATAGGTTTTATATTGTCACGAATGACAAGTGATGAGCCGATAATAACTGGAGAAACTAAACGTTTAATGGGGCGAACTTGTGCCCAAAAATAAAAAGGAAACAGAAGAAAGCAGCGCGTCGCGGGCGTCGAAGTCGGCGTGACAGCAGAGTCGAACGCTGGGGCGAAACTGAATCAGGCTTGCCACGCGGAGCCCCTTTTGTGCACGCGTAGGCTTCTGGAACAATCGGCGTAGAAGGTTCGGCGTGTCGAACATTCTAACCTCGAATCAGCATGTTGACACGATGTTTCGATCAGTTTTAGATCATTGTCTAACATCGCACAATCTTCTGGAATTTTAATCTTCTTAAATAACGTACAGTCGTCGACATATGACCTTATAAAGTAATGGACAGAATAGAGTGGCAGGTCATTCGCGCAAATAAGAAAAAGAGCAGCAGACCAAGCGCGGTTCCTTGGGTCACTCCTGATTTTACTGTTTGATGCGATGAATAGTCATGTTCATAATTATTGCTCTTAGTATGAATAACAAGAATAGCTGAACCCCACTCTGTGGTGTATGGATCTATTTTGATACTTGGTTTCAGCTTCAGTCCAGACGCAGGCGACGCTGCGAGCTGGAACCAATCAGAGAGCGTGAAAAGCGCACCAACATGGTTTTCCTTGTGTTCCTCTAGCATCGCTGAACCAATCATGAACAGAAGAGGAATTGCGCTTTCGACGGTGCTGATTGGTACCATTTGTTCGTAGCCTCGGCTGCGTCTGAACTTAAGCTGGAGCATTGCATAACTATGTTCTGTTTTTCGTGAGACGGTGACAGAGTACTTTAATAAAAGCCCCCTTTTTTGTAACAATAAACATAATATGTCTCTGTACGGGATTGTAAGATCTTACAAATCATTACTGCAATAATTTATTTCGGCGCTTACGCATCTTCCTTGGTCATAAGGTGTTTTTATCGTTATTTTCTAGCGTTTTGTATTCATATTACTGTTGTAGCCCCCATCTCCCCCATCTCCCGCGATGATCTCAAATGAGGTCATTGCGGTTGGCAATTGCATGTACAAATAAATAAATACGTATAAAGCTGGTTTCGCGGAAGGTTGAAATTTGCAAACCGCTCTGATATACAAAAACAAAATGGAGTTGTTAGCTCACACGTAGCCAATACACGCGAACATGTAATGTGCTCCATACATTTTCTAGGAATATTAGTTCTCTATGAATTGACGACACAGGAGGCAACACTTATTCACTGTGCGTCGTATGCTAACATCTTGCTCTTCACATACCTGCTATAGCTCTCATCAGAGTGTCAGAAATGTGTCTGAATAAAATAAAAACAAAATTATATGAACGTATGGTTGTCCCCTCGTTTTCATTATAACGCAAAGAGATGCTCCACTAACAATGAATGCGTGCAGTCTCATGATGCCCGCGAACATAAATTATTGATCGTCTGGGAATCAGGTTTCTGAATGAGGAAGACTGGAGTTATTCCGGTTCAGTGACCGTGCAGTCCTGCTTTTTCTCCCCCTGTTTATGATGATTGCTGCTGCAAGGTACTGGAAGCCCTCTTCATCGATTCGAGAAATGTGAATAATTTACGTTCTGCCACCTCTTTTCTGCGTGGTGCGCCTGCAGATACTTCTGAGAACGCTTAGGCATCAGGAACTTATGATCAACAGGTGAGGCCGATTTTGAGTGCGTTCCTGTTTTTGCCATTAGTAAGCGATTGGTTGCCGTGTATTCTGACCGGATGACACTAGTTAGAATGAAATAACCATGCTTGTCCACATCCTGTCTCAAAAGGATGCTGAACTCACAAAAAACTGTGTTTATTTTTAAGTGCCAGAATTCAACACCTGTAGATTTTAGTAAGCCCAATATTTACAGCGCGATTCTCATTTAGAGTTCATGGCTTTTCCGAAATCTGCTTAGGTTTCGAGACGTCGACCCCAAAATCGAATGTTTCACAATCGCTCAAATAAGTTTAATAATGTACATATTGCGCTCATTTATTCTTGTTGTTTTGTTGTTGTTGTTGTTGTTTTTTTTCGACGGAGGGGGATTTTTTTTTATGACAGGTGTGTCTATTTCTGCCACAACAGAAAAAAACATTTTGGGGGATTCTAGTGTCCCTTTCACATATTGACTGCGCGAGGTGCCTATTTATGACTTTCGGTTGTTTTACCTTTTAGAAATGACGGCCCTCCCATCTGCAGCTGAGACACACTTACGATGGCATAGGTCTTTACGCCAGGCTTGAAGCTCTTCTGGCTCTTGCTCGTGGAGATGACGAACGGCGTGGTGGAGAAGACGGCCTTCTCGTTGCGAGCAGACTGCTTGGCGGCGGTCGCCTCTTCGGTCACCGTGGCCTCGATCACCAGGCGGTATCGGCCACGGAACAGACTCTCCAGAGGAGCTCCCAGACGCCGCGCAATGCTGTCTCTGCCCACTTGGAAACGTGCTATTCCGTCAATAAGCTGCACAGGAAAGTGAATCGAGACAGTTTAAGAAGCGGAGGAAAGCGTTAGATTTACTCCCAGTGTCACGAATGGCGGATAAGGTGGGCTTGGCAGCACGGAGCCAGCGCTATACCTAATCCACTACTCTTTCTTGTACAGGTTCGTAAAAGTTGTTCACATTCTTGCCTAAAGAGTAATTGTCTTTTTATTCGTGTTGCGAAGCCCACAGGCCCCTGAGATATTTCGTGTAAGTGCTGGAACGTCACGTTGTTATAGTTAGAACTTAGTGGAGGTGTCGAGCTAAATCCCGGTCCTCTTACCCAGAAACATCTGAAGGAGCTTTTAGTCGTACAAAAACAGATCGCAGAAGATATAAAAAAAAATCAATGGTGGCCTTGACAAAAGACTGCAGGCCATAAAGGAAGTCACGCACGAGACAGAGCAGTTGTCAACGGATAAGTTTGTTGATCGGATCTTAAAAACAAAACTAAATTTAGATGTCGAGATTGCAGAACGCGTTCACAGGATAGGAAAGATGTTTCATGATGAACCACGACCAATAATCTTATGACTTGAAAATTTCAAGGAAAAGACAGGCATCATCAGCAATGCGAAACGTTTAAAAGGTACAACATTTTTTATCAATTATGATTACTCTAGGCGGGTACGAAGTATTCCACAAAATCTCTGGCAAAGTTTTATAGCATACAGAACGAAAGGTGATAAAGTATTTCTCGTGTTCGATAAACTAAAAATAAACGGAGGTGTTTACGCTTGGGATGAACAAACACTGATCCCCTACGAACATGTACAAAAAAGTTTTCAACCCCGAGGGGAATGACAACGAAAGGATGAGAACTGAAAGGCATTTTCAATAATCATTTTAAATCCTAAGAGTATCGTGAGTAAAACTATTGATTTGGAAAACATCCTTGTCGTGCATGATCCTTCTGTTGCTATAATTACTGAGATGTTTTTAGTATGTTCTATTTTCGATTTCGAAGTTGTTCCTCCTGGATATGGTACTGTTATGAAAGATTGAGAGGGCAGAGGGGGTGGAGCACCTGTTATAATAAATAACTGTATCGGTTGTGTTACAAAAGAAGGCACCCCCGACTTTGAATGCGTTTAGTGTAGACTTAAGATATCAAGGCCGGAGGTCTTAATAGGAATGGTTTACTGCCCTCCAGTCACATCCTTTCACTTTGTGCAGCGTTTAAATTATTTTCTTGTGGAACTGCACGTTGAATGAAAAGGGTAATAATATTCGCAAGCAATTTCACGGTTGGGGAGGTTAACCTGTATACATAACTACCAGGAACTCGCGATGCTTTGCTCTCTCTTGCATTCATAGTCATGAATAGAGGTAAAAAACGAAAGCGAGCTGGTGAATGACATCCAAAGTAACCCTGAGACGTAGGAACAATAAAAAAAACGGACAGATCAATTAAGTCTCTTACACAAATGTTTTCACATGTCGGGACGCAAGTCATCCGGGAGTTCATTAGAATCCAAGAAAATTCGAAATATGTATTAAATTTGTTTTTCTCAAGTGGCAGTACGCTGCTCTTTCCTTACGAGTGTAGTGTCTTGTCAGGAATATCGGATCATCTCATGGTTGTTTTGTCACTCTATTTAAAAGGGATACTTCAACGAAATTTGAAATATTCCCGTCGTGTTCAAAAATAGGTTGAATATGATCCACAATCTCCGTAAATGACAATCGCACGTTTGTATTTTGAGCCTGGTGGCTGTATTTTTCGTTACAAAACGGCCCGCTCTGGCAAGCGCTCGGAGAAGGCCCAGCGGAGACCACGTGACATCCAACGCAATCGTGACGTAGGTCATCTCGGGACGAGAAAAGCCACGGCGAGGCTGACGTCAAGAGGATGGCCTAGTCGTTCCAGCCCCCGAAGCGGCTGCTTTTGTACGAATTTTGAGTGACGGGTTAATCTTCTATAATCTTGTAGAGGGACAATAGCGACTTCTGCGACACACAAAAGGCATTCTCGGGAAGAGGGGAGTTCCTCCTTCCCCTCTTCTCTCGTCGTGGCCGGAGGCGAGACAATAACCGTCACTACCGCTCAAGGTTCCTAGACGGGCATTACAAACGACGCGTTAGCGACATCCACCAGGTGCTCTTTGCTAATCGTTTGATTCGCTTTAAAATTCCTTTTCGAGATTTTTTTAACAAAATATTGGTATGTTCGATGTGATACTGCTCCTTTGAACACATAGAGACCAAAAAATGAGCGCCGCAATTTCGTTGTAGTATCCCTTTAAATGGTAACCTTACAGCGCGTCATGAAATTTTTCCCTATAAAGATTTTAATCGTACAGATGACGTAGCTCTTTAAGATATTTGTTCATTTGATGTCATTCAGCGATTCAGTCTTGATTGTAAACTAAGCGTCAATTAACCCTGGCAAAAGATCAAAGACAGCTACGCATTGCATAGCTCATCACGTCCCGGAAAAGGTGAAAAAGAACCGCACTAATAACCCGTGGAGTAATAAAGACATAATACGTCTGAAATGCAAAGTTTCAAGGCGTCGGGCGCAAGCGCGCAAATTGCAGGCAGCGGTAGTACGTGACAAGCTACGGTGCTTCAACAAGGGTCTGAGATCAATGATAAAAAATACCAAGCACTATTATTTTAACGTAAGCATGACAGGCTTTCCGGCAATCGCCCAAAACAGGGGACCGAGTTGTTTTAAAAAAGTCAGACTTTCACGAATGTATTTGAAAGCTCTTTTTCTACAGTTTTTTTTTTTTTTTTTTTTTTTTTTTTATGACGGCACAATACCTGAGCGTTATGAATTTGTCACTATACCGGCAATTTTTAATGTGATGTTATGCCAGGAGGGATTTTTTTTCATTGCTTCTCGATATTGACCACTCAAAGGCAGGAGGACAGCACAAAAGTTTAAATACGTTTTTAAAAAAAGGTATGCCAATTGGTCGTCGAAGTATGTATTGCTTATCTTTCATGAATTGCTTGGTTGTTCTTTGATTTCAAATGAATGAAAATTAGGGAAAGTGATTTCAATATTTAAGGAGAGTAATTCAAGGTACCCGCCAAATTATCGCCCAATTTCCTTAACATCAACCTGCTGTAAAATAATTGAACATAGCTCCAATCATATATTCATACATTCTTAGCTGAGCACAGCTTAGTTAGCAGCTGCCAACGTGCATTCCGAAAGAGACTTCCTACTGTTACTCAGCTGATCGAAATTAAGAATTTCTTTTCGAAGAAGTTGTATTGTCGAGATCCGATTTACGTTTTCTTTTTTTTTTTCATTTTAAAAATGCTTTAGAGAAGGTGATTCACAGAAAGCCAATCTGTAACATAATACCTATACTAAAGAACAAAACTCTGTTCGGATTGACAAAGGCCTTTCCTGCCAATAGAAAACGGTTTGTTAGCATTGCGAATAACTACTCGGATTTCTATGCTGTTACTTCAGGTGTGCCTCAAGGCACAGTTTTAGGGTAGTTGCTCTTTCTTATGTTTATAAACGACCGGATTAAAAATATGGCGGTACACGCAACAGTTTTGTAGACAACTGTGTTTTGTACACCAAAGTAACCTCTGTATCTGACCAAATTAACCTATGTGCGAGCCTGCATAGGGTTAACTAATCGGGCACGAGGTGGCTAATGTTTCTGAGCTTAAGAAAAACGGCTCGTATGTCCATGTCACATATATTAAATCCCTTAGCATATCCGTACAGCCTTGATAGTGTCCTCTTAGAAAAAGTAGACAAATATAAGAACCCCAGTTCTAGTATAAGAAGCAATCTTCAATGGAACACACGCGTGACTAACACTGTTAAAAAGCCGGATACTCGACTAGCATTTCCACGGCGGTTCTTGAAACTAGCATCCACAGAAACTAGACTGCTCGCTTACAAAATATTGGTTCGCCCCCTCCTTGGATACTCGTCGGAAGTATGAAACCCGAGACTGTGGTTTAAAAAACGGAAGGCTCGTGAAAGAGGAAGAAAAAGGGAAAGACAACGTCTTGAGACGTTGTGTGTCCCTTTTTCTTTTTTCTTCACGAGTCTTCCGTTTTTCAAACCACAGTCTCAGCTAGGTTTCAGTGATCATGTATAAGGGGGATCGGTGGCCGAGTGGTCTAGCGCACATCAGCTCGGAGCACATGGAGTGAAAGCTCGCGCTGCAGAACCCAGGGATCCTGGGTTCGAGCCCCACCCCTGCCCGTTTCGATCTGGATGAGCATCGTACCGGCGTGCGGTCGTGTATCACTAGTGCGTGGTGCACGTTAAAAATCCCAGGCTATCGGTTGTACTGCACTGGCTAAATTGCTCCTCTACAGCGAGTGAATCGTCGCAGTTTTGAAATAACTGACCAACTACGCACTGTATAAATTTCCACACAACCCCAATTATTCATCATGTATAACGTACACCAGCTCGCCTGCACATTAACCGTTTTATCATCCTTTTCCTGGAGGGCATACTGCCTGCACATTAACATTTTTTTCATCCTTGCCCTGGAGGGTGTACGCCTGTAACCGTTTCTCCATCCTTATCCTGGAGGGTGTACGGCGACTGGCCCTACTTTTTATTTATAGTTATCGGAAATTAGATCCGCCGACAGGGCTGTATGCGCTGTGTAACCTTCCGTTGCTAGAGGTAAGACGGGAAAATAACACGGTTGAAGCTTTTATTCATTGTACTTTTTGGTTCGTTCCCCTTCGACCAATCGCGTTTTTGTACCCCTCATCAATCACGTATCACTCGTAACTAGCATTCGCGCCCCTAACAAGTATTTTCGTTCAATGAAGATTGTTTTAAGTACTCCGTTTCCCTCAAGTGTAAATTGTTTCCACCCCTATCAAAGTCCTGGACATGACTGACAGTATGCCAAATAAATAAATCAATAAAGTAAAACACGTCGATTCATGATTTCCCGGGCTGGCACATCCGGCTTCGCTTTCCCCACCAGCGTAAGCTTCGCTAAATTTGCGAGGCGTTACATCGCTCGGGAAGGCGAACTAATGAAGGAGAGACCATACCCTCACAAAAAGTATTTTAACCACTTTGCAAATACCCACTATAAAGAATAGTGTATCGAGACGATAAATATCATTTAGGAAATGTGTGCACTGTTTCAGAATAGTTTGTTTCATTTCAACCGCGTGTTTCTGTATATTTTATAGAACTTAGTGCAAGAATTTTTGGATGGAAATATTTAAAATAAGAAGGATAAAAATTCTAACTACATCTTATTGCCTTTTAATATATTATTGGTAGTAAGTTCTTCGCAGACAAAAAGAAGGCATTGTGAACGTTACTCCAAAATTTGTCTGGCAACATTACATGAAACGTGCATTTGCCACAAGTCGCGTGTAAATATGCAGACACCTCAAATCTTTAGGCCACGAAGCACTCCCAACCCTAGTAATACAACGATTGCATGTATTCCATCGCGTATATACCCTGCACTTGGAAGGCAATCATATAAACGAAGAGAACCTCAACAGTTCAAAGCGTTAAAACTTTTTATTTTGTCGCCATTTTTTATGAAAAGTATTTCCTAGGCATTGGTAGTCTATCTTCATCTGTAAAGCATTTAAAAAAGGAATAATTATTTGACACATGCAGTCGGAAAAAGACACCGTCTACATGAAGGCTCCAAGTGGGCGTCGCTTTAGGCACTGCATCCTATTATTCTGTCAAGTTCGGTCTACAGAATTTCTATAGAAATGTGGTGACGGAAAATGTACGAAAAGTGTGTGATAAATTTTTCGTCAAATCTATACCGTCTCTGCTTTATATTTTTTGGTTGAAAGGAATTTTGTAGATCTATCAAAAACGGTCGATAGGGCGTCACTGAGTAGGAAGTTCGAAGAATTGTTTGAATTTGTGCGGGATTTTTATAAACAGCATGCAATATTTTTTTTTTTTTTTTTTTTTTGTGAAGGCACCTTAACCACAAGTAATCTTACTTTCAGCTCAGACACACGAAGATTGGATTGAAAGTACTGCTGTAATATTAGATTTCACCCTTATGAAGCGAAAAATGCAGCTCACATTTTCTGGGTGCATGCGTGAAAAAAAGAAAAGGAGGACTTTTTGCTTTCTTTAGTTTCAAAGCGCTGATGCCATTGTTGAAAAAAAAAAATAGGGCGCTTACGAGTTTGGGCTCTTTTCCGTTGCCGATCCACTGTTGTTTGCCAGCTTCACTTTTGAGGCCGAAGCGATACTGGACGACCCCTTGAACAGGCTGCGTGTTCAGAAATCTGTTGAGAAAAGAAGTCATATCGGTTCGTGGCGTACACAAGCGGAGCCTTCAGCCGTGCGCTGTTAAAGCACTTATCCCACTTGACCGACAAGTAGCAAGGCTGTGTCTGTTAACACAACGGGAAGCCAACCCCAATGAAAATCTGCTGACTCCGTTGTGTACAATAAAACATTCAGCCTATGCAATACCACTTCTAGCCCAGGGGCTTTAATGTCCACAACGTGGTAGTGATCCACTAACCCACGTCGGTACGATGTCATTGAGAACAAACCGAGCCGGGGCGGGGATAGAACCCAGGAGGAGCGGGTTCTGCAGTGCGAGTTCTCGCTCCACGTGCTCCGAGCTCCGGTGCGCTAACACCAGTACCTAAAGGGACCTGTCCAACCCGCGGCCGCTCTATGGGTAGACTACTGGGGCTGTATTTAGAGGTACGGCTACGACAGTTACTCTAGAGTGAGGGAAGGGGGGGGGGGGGGGGGGGAGAGAATTCTCTCCCCCTCCCCAAACTAGTGTGACTGTATATTCTCCGCTTGCAGAGCATCCCCATCGTAATGAACTGCAATGGATGAGTGGTGCTGCACTAAAGAAACCTCTGCCTTTGTCTCTTAAGGGTTTGTAGCTTTAGCAAAACATTTAAAATGGCGGCAGTTTTTTTTCTTTTTTTTTTTTTCGCACGTATTTTTGTAATTAAAGCGAGCGCATAGATACATTTTATCCATTACTGCAGGATGTGTTCTGCTTTCGAGTCTTCCTTCTAGTTGTCGTGTTTATTGTTAAAATGTTTGATTCTGTGCTCTTACGTCACGTCCTGCGCATGGTCTATGAACTGTCTCATGAACATCACAAGAACCAGTTTCTCCAGAGCAGTTATGCGGTCTTCTAAATGTTTGACTTGACAGCCAAAAAGTGTGTTGCGCACAACAACCGCAACAACCTTCTGAACCAACACAACACTACAAATGGCTTGGAAAAAACGCGAAGCATGCGTTTCATCAAGGGGCTTTCAGTCAAAGTTGTGCCCGTTACCTAAATTAGGTAGGGATATGTGTTACTTCTTACATCTTAAAAATTAACACGTTGCTGAGATTTGTTACCCTCCTGCAATGCAACGAAACAATCTTTCCGTTACTTTTAAAAAATAAGGAACGTTACTTTTGCGTTACTTTACATTTCAATATTATTCGACATTAATAGGCCATGGATATAACCACTCACAATAGAAAAACTTTTACAGAGTGATTTTATAGTCCTTATTATACGTGGTGTGTCTTTTTTTTAAGCCGTGAATGCTACGTTTATGCGGTTTGTGTAGGTGGGTTCTACGGCCTGGGGGACATAGTATAGGGGAATTATCGTAACGATCAGACGGCTTATTAAGTAAATGTGTTAATTACCCTTCTTAATTAGTGAAAAAGACATGTGGTTTCAATTAGAAACTTGCTGAGCGTGATTGCAAACCACAATATCAAGTCTTTTTGGAATGATATAACACAGGGGCAGCAGTTTGCTGCGTTCTGAAAAAAAAAAAAAAAACGTTCAGTTTCGACGCCTTTTTATGTTTGGGTTCCTTATCGTAGCACATCTTTGCATCCGCGGTCCTGCTCCCTGGTGATCGCGGCGCAACGCCGCCGCCTAGTCTCCCTCGAAGGCAACGTGAGTAAAACAGCTCAGTTCGGAAACTGCCAAAGTGCCTGCTTTGATAAAGTGGCTTCGACCCGTACTCGAGAATCAAACAAATGGCGATCACAACGCCATTTCTCTCGCAGCGGCGACGCCGGGAAACTGCCCGTCTGCACGTATCGGTTGAGGTCGACTCGCGCAAGGGTCGGTAGCGCCACCTCGCATTGCCATTTCGCAGTAGCAATATAAATGAACTTTTTAGTTTTGACTAGTCGCTAAAGGGTGGCGCTGTTATCGTATTTAGTTCGGTCTCCGTGGACGCGGGGGGGTTCGGGTTTCAAGGTTGAGTTTTCTATTAAGTGTTTTAGTAAAGTTTCTCGAAGGCTAAAGGGAGGTGTGGCGCACCTGTGTTGCGCGTGTCGGCTACTCGGAAAAGGACCGCGGGCGCAAAGATACGCTGCGATAAGAAACCGAAACCTAAAAACTCGTCCAAATTCAGCGTTTTCACGGAACGCCGTAAAATGCTACCCCTGCCTTATATCTTTCTAAAAAGGGTTGATTCAGTGGTTTTCGATGACGCTCAGCAAGTCTCTCATTGGAACCCTATGTTTATTTTCACGAATTAAAAAGTTCATTAAAAATTTCACTTAATTAGCCGACTAATCGTCCCGACCCCGACTCGCCCGCTCGCCCTATGTAGGCTCTGACGATGTTATCGGTCAGCGGGATCGTTTCTATTTAATTTCTTTTGCGTGTTTTTCGTAGTAAGTGTAAATTTTTATATGCGGTTTTTTTAGGTATGACCTGTAGCTGCAGGCGAAACTTGAACCAACATTTCAAGCATATTTGACAAGGCAGGCAACGCACGAATCGCAGGCGATATATGAAAAAAAAATATTGCCACAATTGTAAGTGCGCCACATAGATTTACATCATACAAAGTCAATGCTGCTTATGGTCTGGATGAATTGTCAGAGTATGTATACTATTTATTTTTTTTTTTTATGTGGGTTTTTCTTTTCAAACAAAAACGTCGAAGCAGAAAAGCTGCATGCCTTTCGAGCAACATGTTAAATACATCTGGGCCATGGAGCGAGACTCAAAAGTGAGACAGTCCCAGTGCAGGAGCGAAGTAAAGAATGAAGGAACATTTATTTATATACATTGCTCGCATTTGACCTTTGGTAGATTCGGACAGAACTTCAATGGACTCCACTGGTGGTATTTGTGGTCTTGTTTATATTATCCCTCAAGTAATGTACAAGGAACATAAGTGAAGGTGTCTAGCCCGTTATTAGTCCCTTAAGCTCTCCAATTGAGATTTGAGCTAAATCAAATTGTCCTGAAGCAAAAACACCAGAAGCTTTTTTCACGCAAACTGTCGCCCCTTCACAGGTTCCACACTTTCTACTTCTAGTGCAGCATCTATCAATGGACAGCTGTTCGAATGCTTGCTGTTCCTCCTGTTTTCCTCTGTTGCCAGAGAGTTTAGCTGTAGAGAGTTTGGAGGCTGATGAAGCTTTTGGGGACCTGCAGCAGTGTCTATTCTAATTGGAAATAACAATTCAATATCAACGGGGTGTTTTCCGAATACCCAAGGCTGGAATAAACAAAGAATGTCAGGAAAAAGTTTAAACATTCCAAATTACGGTACAGTTGCTGCGCATATTTTGGGCACTTCAATACATCTCATACAGGCAACTGAGGGCAATTCGGCCGTTTTTTCTGCTATTATACAAACTGATTTTCAGTAATTTTGCCTTTGATAACGCTTCTGATATGGCACGCGCAGAGTCGGGGTCGCGAGTTAATTTGCCAACCGGCCAAACGCCTTTGATTAAATGCCATTTCAAATGCCTGCAAGCGGGATGCAATTTTCTCCCAAAACCACGAACTTGCAAGGAGCAGATTTCCAGCGTCTGAAACACTTACGCCACCGCTTCACCGACCCCTCGCACGATTGCCTTGTGCCATGTGGACCGACAAAGATGTTCATCGGCGGAATTTCCTCCGCCGATAGCCTTCGGGATTTGTAACCCAATAATAAAGGTAAAAGTGACAAGCAGAGAAGCCCGTCGGCATCGGCCTAACCCAGCGTCTTGTACACCAGGTAAACCAAGACCCGCTCCTCAAAGTGCTTGCGCCGCAGAACGGCCAAACCAGCAAATCGGGGAAGGGAAGCGAGCCGGATGCGAGATCGCGAAGGCGAGTCCTTCCCCTGACGTCACGGTACACCTCACCCAATCAGAGCGCGGCGTCCGCAGCGACGCTTGTGTTCGCTTACGGGGCTAATACTATGTTCCCCTAGCCGTATGACTCACCTGCACAAACCCCATAACTGCAGCTTTCACGGATCTTTTTAAACTAATCAGTCGAACTTAAAAAAAAAAAACGGTATGTATATTTTTCTTATTAAGTTTGTAAAATATATTTTTAGTTCCGATTTTTCTTTCTTAGTGAAGAATTTTAAAAGAATTCTGCAGAGGAAAAAATATTATTTTCTGAAGAAAAAATAATATCTTCCTTTTCCGGCACAGTTTACAGAATTAAATTATTTGTATTTAAGCTTAAACAACAATTGCTAATTAAAAGTACTCAGTAACGAGAAACGTAATTTTACAGGCGATGCCATAAAAAAGCGACGAAGGTACTTTACTCGTTAATCACTTAAAATCCTTACGAGTACGTTAGCGTTCCTGAAAAAATAAGGCGTTATCAGTTGCGTCGATATGGTAACGCCTCCATCACTGGCTTGATTTCACAGACGTGCATAAAAGAGGATCAGCTGTGCGCCATGCTTAAAAAGAACGGCTGTCCGTTGTTGTGGCCGAGTGGTTCAAACGGTATTTAAGTTTAATAAGCCCCTCTACCCTGACGCAACAACCATAAGAAAAAAGTCTAGAGTATTTGTTTCGTGCATCTTCGATGATTTCAGTAACGTGTTCCACTATATAACTCAGGTTAGGGGCACGAGGTCGCGGTGTTGAAAGCATGCTCGTACCAGAAAGGTGCCTTTCGAGACAAGGAGCGCGGACCAGGTCTCATTTGTCGCCTCCGCTGCCCAGTCAGATGTTTCGACGAGCAAGCGTGGTTGGGGTATTACCCAAGGATGTGCCCATGCGCTTCAAGAGGAACTGCACTTAGACAGCCCTTTGTGTATTTGTCAATGCCTAAAAGAGTTGCGCTCTGACTACAAATGTAATTGTAATTGCAATTACAGTGACCAGTTACTGACACTAAACGAAACTAAATTACATATTGACGCTTCTCGCTGCAATAAAAGTAACTAGAATAAAAGTATAAAAATAACTATAATCCCAATAAAATAACTACAATTACAATAAAGCGCATTTTATTGAAATGCGGTGAATCACATTTGCATCCATTACTGTAACTGAATTACCACCAAAAAAAACAATTGTTTTTTTTACAGATATTGCAAATATTATGGGAAAAAGTCACAAAAATTGCAACACTAGCAGACGCTCAAATCATTCAAGATTTGTGCTTTCAATAAGAAATAAAAGAGTAATTTATAAACGAAGTTTCACAATTAAGACAGGACTGAACAATATTCAAAATAATTGAAAACATGAAATACAATATTTGTTTACATGACAGTGGTAGCATATATCTGTAAAAAAACTTCGGTTCACCTACCTTGCATGGACGAAGAACGGCACATCTGTGAAGTTGTCTGGGACGTATTTCACGGTGCTGAGCTCCACTGAAAACCTCGGTAAAACTGCAAAAAAAAATATGTCGATACTTCTCACTTGCTCTTTTTGAAATTCGTAAAATGTTTCTGCACTACGTAGGATGCCGTCTATTTATGTGCAGGCATTCGCAAAAAAAGCGGGAGCTCGATAAGCTGCAACATGTAATAAAAAAGTCCAAAGAGCAAGAGGACAATTTGAGAGAGAATATGATAACTTTCCTTCGCGTTCTTGAAGCTTAGCTTTGTATTTGTTTTGTTTTTGTTACAAGGTAGGATATTGTGACTCGGCCAACTATGTTGTCCCCTTTTTGTCTTTTTTTTTTTTTTTGTCCTACATCTAGGGTTTTAAAATGCTTAATACTTATTTGATTTATTTTTATATCGTTTTCTCGATTGGGCGCTTACTCTGATCTTTTTTTTGGTTTTGTTTCCTCGCTGTTTTATGCGCATTTTGTGCGCTTCTGGTTGAATATGACTGAGCAAATGCGAGAAAAAGCAAAGTTTGTCACTGGGAAGGTTGGCACGTCCAAGATAAGAGGCTCGAGATTCGCAGTCGGTTTTACTCCTTGCAAAAGGACATGTGCTTCAGCTCAACTTGCAAAGATGTTTAAACGCGTTTGGGTAAGTTATATTTTTAGCGTAAGAGTCTTCGGATCTGCAAGCACGCTTTTCTTTTCATAATAATATTGATCGGTGATTTCTTACTCCTCTATTCTTAAAGATGAAACTAAAAGGAAGTCGCTAAACTCACCGTACTCCTTCACCTCAAACGTTACAGTCTCATTCTGTTCAAACTGCAAATAAAACACAAAAAGGATAAGAATCACACTGCCTTTTTGATTACGTTTTGGTTGTCATGGTCTAAAATGTTTTAACGGGAACCGGAAGACTGCAGATTCGACGAGTATCAGTAGTTCACAATCTTCTGCACTCTCAAAGTAGCCTAGCGTCTACTTTCCGGCGAAGAGCGGGGAGGGCCAATCCGTGCATTCGCGAATCGAGCACTTGCAGTGGATAAAAGTGTCAAGAAGAGTGCTTATCTCGAAAGTACGATGTATAGAAGCTCAATGAGCGTCACGTTTTATTTTCTCATTTCTCTCGAGTCAATCGCGTTTTCAAGTACACGCTTCGTTGTTCGTAGACGTGCAGGCCTATTACAAGGTCTCGGCGAGCTCAGATTTGTCCAAACCATCAAATACCTCACTAGGAATACTCGATCAATTGAAAAATAGGTAGAAAAAAGAAAGTTATCGGCTTTTTCTATAGGAAGAGGGAAAGTGTGCGAACGCATTTGAAGAGCCAATTGGGTGAGCCTTTCTATGACTGAGTGCACATGGATGTGACCGTACAGCACCGAAGCAACATTTGACGAGAATTGTTGTGCGCAAAAAGAAAAGAAACTGGCTACACGTCCCCTCCCGCCTGGATGTTCAACGCTCGCACGCTTAGCTGCTTTACATGCACCCGACCGTAGCACATTCCATCGAGCTGGGATGAACCGTGTGCAGTTAGTCCCCCACCCTCTACTACCCGATTACAGTCTTCAGATGCCGAGGAAATATTCCAGAGCGCATATTTATCTTAGCGCAGTCTAAGCTCAAAGATCCGCGTGTCTCCGACACAAACTACAAAACGCTCGTAATGATCAACGGCTGTTTTCACAGAGTGGCAGCGCCAATAATCAAATAAGGCACGGATGCATTTTTCGACTGAAGCGGCTCATTGTTCGAGCGAGCGGCTTGTTCGCCTCTCCTAATCACACTCCTACCCGGCTGTATTTTTGCAAACCCTATCTAGCTACATGGTCAATTCTGTCTCTTGTGAATGTGATTGGATTGGCTGCACGCTGACGCAGCACTCGTTCTCTATAAGAACTGAGCCACTCCGAACACTGACGCCGCCTTTGTGTCGAATACATGCCCAGAGTGCGTGGTGAAACTATAGTCAACTCGGATTACTAATGGCAGTCACCGAAGAGTTTAAGCGTAGCAGTTGCCAGTGTCGACTACTTGTAAGAAAGGTCTACCGTGTTTCAACTCCTGCTATCGAGCGCCAAACGCGGATGCGTACCTTGTAGCCGTACTTGACCACGACCTTCCATTCGCCCAGCAGGGTGTGTTCGGGCAGCGTGACCACATGGGTTAGCATAGGTCCTGTCGTAGGCTCGAAGTCTCGTGCCTCCACCGTGACGTTTTGAGGGTTCTGCGTCACACGCACAAACGAGTCAATGCAGCGGCTGCTCCAAGTGGACAGACTTTCAGAATCACGACCGACTCAAGTGGCGAGGGAAGTAGAAGGCAGCACATTGCGCTCGCGGACCCTGGAAGCTTAAAGGGATTGTCCGGTCGAAAACGGAAGTACTTAAGTTCTTGCGCTCGTTACGTCGAGAGAGCCTTCATATAGACAAACGTCATTTTTATTTTGATATATGATCTCCCGTTATTAATTAAACCTTTCATGAGCCTATGTACGAAACTGCACCCCGAATTTCGCCAGTGTCAATGGCTGACATCCGTAGGTGCTGCGTGACGTCACAAAACGCAAAGGTTTGTCGGATGGTCGGGATAACAAGTGTTGGTCGATGGATGTCTTGTATTTTGTTTCGAATTATACACTCTCCTAGGCTGTACCCGACTGAAATACGGTTCTTTTAATGCAGTTCCCAAGCACGTGCAAAAAGAGACACGCCTTTTAGCAGGATATTACTCGAAAACAGCCATAAGCTTCGAGGAAACGTATGCCGTTTCGCGCAAACACAACTGCGACGGACGCCGATCGAACTAGGGGCGCTTGCAAAGCAAAGTATGCAGATTTCGACTCTGAAGCGGCACCTAGGTACACGAAGCGGCATCTGGGTACACATTTCGGCAGATCCACTGGATCTGTGATCAGGCTGCGGGTCGTTCCCTTAGAGGCGATGTCCGCGCACGTCGCGGGCAAACGGCGAACCGTTCAAATGGATGTCGTCACTTGACTTGGACGAGCTTGGTGAATCGTAGTCACGCTCCATTTTCACACGCGGGTCAAACAGATATCGGGCTGCACGCGTGCTAAATACAACTTCTGGTATCATTTCGAGATGGCCTAGCTGTTGGTTTCGGTTTCGCTGCATAATCAAGGTCTGTTTGATTCGGCCAAGAAGTTCTGAACTATAGTCGATTACAAGTCAAGAAGGTAGCGGCAAATGCCCCTCAAAAGGAATCTTTGCATTTCGACGATAGGTTCGCGGCATCAGGATGATTTTGCGTCGGGAGTCACTGGCGCCAGCGCGCGGTCGGTATACCGGTCACCTCGAAGACGAAGGCCTGACGATAGCGTCTTGGCCAAGACAGTTATCGACCGTAACTTTGGCGTCAAGTTGAAGTGAGCATCGCCAAAAATGCCAATTCTCAGCGCTTTTCCCAGGCCCGTTAGTGGTCGTCCACAGATACCAGCGGACAAAGCATGCAGTATTATGCTCAGCTACGGGGACATGCGAGTGCCAACGCACTAAATCCCAGGCCTCTGCAATGTATTGGGGTCGTCAATATGCACCCAAGAGCAACCGGAGGCGGGGACTATCAAGAGGGCAATACCTTTCCCGTGTCTGTATAAGTAAGAATATCAACACTGTGGATCCCCACATAGCATCAAAAAGAAACAATTTACGTGAGCCAATATTTCAACACTTACCACAGGGAGCCAAACCTACGCGAGCAGGTGCCTAAAACGTTTTCAGAATATCATAATCAAGAAAATTCCTACCCTCGGGTATGATCTCAATTCCGGGTCCACCCCGGGTACGTTATAATCATAAATGAGAGGAAATGCAACCTCCGTATCGGCGTTATTGTTAAACATCGCAGACATTTGAGCAAGAGCTGCGAAAAATGGCACCGCGAGCAGAGACGGACGAGGAGTGTCGTCTGCTATCGCCGTCTGCTCTTGTCGTCTGCTTCTGCACGGACGCTGAACTGAGTCCGGAGCCGGTGCAAGATTTTTGAGGAACTGGGTCTGAACTCGTTCAGAACTGGGATGAATCGAACACGCCAGTGCAGCGGTCGTGCAACGTCCCGTTGAATCGAATGCACCAGTTCCTGCACTGCCGAACTAGTTCAGCCAGTTCAGGCGAATCGAACAGACCTAAATTGACTGATCCCATTTGGGCGAGGAGTGGGTGGACGTAGTTTAATACCGTTGGTACGGCATCACACCTCCGCTTACAAGCCTTCTGTCCGCTTAGAGCTCAGCTCGTAGCTTTCTTTTGTGAGATGATTGCTGCATAAGCGGGATTGCGATCTTGACGGGAATCCAGTCCCTACGCACGACGACGATCCACTTTGCTCGTCACTGCACGTCTCGCGGAAGAGTGTGGAACGTCATGTCTTGGCTCGCATGTGCTGCCCGGTGGTTGTGGCACCCAACCGCGCTACAAAAATCCCACCCAACTACGAAACCCAAGTCGAGCACAACGAAAACGAAGCACGCTGAGGCGTTCACTCGCAGGCAAACGACGAGACAGAAATGCTCGCTATGTGTTTTGTGATGTCAGAGCTTCAATGTTGCCAACGAAAGCAGCGTTTACGCTAGAATGCGATTGGAGCAGTATAAATTCAATTACTCACGCAGAGGTGCATATAAAATTCAGATATAGCTCGTACGATGCCTCTCGAGGCAATAACAATGATATTCAATTGTTTTCTCGAATACAAAATTTGACCGGACAATCCCTTTAAGACGTGCAGGGCCACTTCCGTCTTCCGATTGCTTCGCAGCCCATCAGATGGCGCCATCCATGTGTACCAATGCCGAAGGACAAACCAAGAAGCCGGGACATAACACCCCGCGTTAGGGTAGGGAGAGGAGGGGGAGGATCCGGGAAAGCCGGATCCTCCCCCTCCTTCCCTACCCTAGCCGACCTCCTCGCCTCCCGCTCTGCCTTCCCTTCTTCCCACTCCCAGCTTACTCGTCGTGAGTAAAGACTTATTCAATAGGCCAAAACTTAACACACTTCAAAAAACCACTCGACTTCACTTTTTCTGTTACACCTCAGACGCCCCACTCCCTCTCTGCTCCCACTGGTTTACCCCTTCCCACCAGACCACTTTCTGTGGGACTACCCCTATAACCCAGCACAGCGGCGCCATTACACTGAAGGTTGCTGGCTCTTGCGGTCAGCCTCGAACATCAACGGGGAACTGGTACTCTACATCAGCAGGGCCATCAGCGTCTGCCTGTACCAAGGCGGCTGACGCACCGCACCATCATGCTTCAATAAAGCTGTTACCTATCCTTCAGCACCTTTCTCACTCACAGAGATGCATTTCTCAGGGGGATGTCCTCTCCCCAATAATATTCAATTTCACCATACGCGGGATCTACCGTGCTCTTCAATCCCTCCCTGACATCCGGTACAGTATTTATGCTGATAATAGGAAGTTTCCGAGGATCGTTTTTGTCACGCAACGCTCTCCGCAACCCGCTAAGTTACCCGGAACTCTACAGTCAAGGCCATCGGCGCGCAGGCGCAGTAGCGACTTCGTTGCGGAGGGCTTAGCGGAGGGGGAAACGCGGTAGACCGCGTTTCCCCCTCCGCTAAGCCCTCCGCAAGGAAGTCGCTACTGCGCCTGCGCGCCGATGGCCTTGACTGTAGAGTTCCGGGTATCGTAGCGGGTTGCGGAGGGCGTTGCGGGACGGCAAAAACGATCTGTGAAAGCTCCCTAATGTTACTATCTGCCTGGAAAGAACACGAGCATCAGCTTGCCCGCGAAACGCTCCTCTGGACCAGTGCTGACACCTGTGACTACGCCCTGATCTTCCTTCCTCCTCTCATTGCCCTAGCCAACCTATTCGCCTCCCGCTGTGCCTTTCCTCCTCCCACCCCGGCCTTTGCCACCTTTGCCCAAAATTTTTCTGGGTCACCGAAAGAGAGAAAGCGTGCTTTCCTGCCCTTTCCACTAGTCCTATTTCTTCGCGTTTTTTTACAGCACTTATTTGTGTTTCTCTTTTTCTTGCCCTTTCCATCCCTTTCCACTCCGCGCGCTCTCTCACACCACCTGCTTCCGGTCCTCCCGTGCCCCCGTGCTGGGTCCGTAGCTCAGTCAGCAGAGCCCACGGCTTCCACGCCGTTTACCGAGGTTCGATCCCTGGCACCAGTTGCCAATTTTCCAAGAAGCTTAGTGGTTACAAGCTTACCGATTTACGTATTTCGTGCTCGCGCAGCTGCTAGGGTTGGTTGGCACTAAAAAGCTACCGCTTTAAGAAGCGCCATCTGCATTATACGAAGACTCTATATATTATATCAAGAGTCTCCCGCCGAAGCTGCTGCCATTCTGGCAGCAGCGGCGGCGGGCGACCGTACACAAACTAATTCTGTTTCCGTATGCCCTTACAGTTATCAAAGAGGTGCCCGATACCGTCTGCACGCAGTCCGCAGCGAAGGAACCGCTGTGTCGCTCTCACTCACGGCTGTGATTACTGTGACCCATATCGGCGAGTTGAAGCCTGCGGCCCCACCCAAGACACCGGAGTCAAGCAACATCTACGCGGAACGATCCTGTCATAAAGGAGCCACGAGCACGACCGGGCCATTCTGGCAGCAGCAGCGGCGGGCGACAGTTCACTGACTAATTCTGTTCCTGCATGCCCTTACAGGTAGGTTGTCACTGCCTACTTTCCTTACGACATTATTGGCTCGGTCGCCGCTGCTGCATGTAGTGTCGTGCCAGTTTTAGCCAATAGTAACTTTTAAATGGCTGAGCTAATACGTCTTAAATGCCAAGAACAGAGCTCCGATGATGATCAATCGATTTCAGGTAGTGATGGTGGATGTTCGTATCACCCTGGAAGTTGTTCGGGAATCTCTGAAGCGACACTGAGGACAAAGGGCGAGTCGTATCGCACAGTTTGGAAGTGCCCCACCTGCCGAGCTTCGAAACTTTAAGGCGGCGCGTACAATAAGCAAACACCCGATGACGGCATGTGGACAATGTTGGTGTGTATGAGCTCCAAACTAGCCCTTTGTGAGACAGCGGGACACATACGTCCCGCCTGTGAGAACTGGTTCAATCGAGTCTCTTCGGGATCGTGGGACACTGGCGTCCCATTTTTTTCACTAGCACCATCTATGAATGTCAAATGCAACTTTTCCTCAGTTCTCTTTTTTTTCACGAGAAGGCCGAAGGTTGAAAACATGTGCTTGCTTTGGTCATTGGTTTTCGAAA